CAAAAAAGTACATTAGGGGCACCCAAGGCAATCAAATGAACGTAAAATGTAAGCTTACTACATTAGATACTCTCCAAACAGAAACAGTCGAAGCACTATTGGACAGTGGATGCACGGGGAGTTGCATCGACTCCCAATTTGTGAAAGACAAAAGATATGAGACAAGGAAGATACCGAGACCTATTCCAGTCTATAATGCAGATGGAACTCTTAATAAAAACGGAGCCATCAATGAATTTGTAATACTGCTCATGGAAATCGACGGACACGTCGAAAAGATACATCTTGCCGTAACCAATCTGGGTAACGGAAAAATGTTTCTAGGACATGAATGGTTGAACAAACATAATCCTAAAATAGACTGGAAAGAATCAAAGTTGACCTTTGAAAGGTGTCCTGAAGAATGTAGACCAAGGATCCGAATCTCTGATCCAGAGGAGGATCCTGAAATATTCTTTGAGGAACTACGAGAAGATGAGAGGATGATACAGGTGAATCTCCATAATTTCGAAGATGCCACGATCGACGATCAATATTACTATATCAGAGCCCAAGGCACAATGGCACAGAAGCTAGCAGAAGCCGCAGGCAAAGATCGAAAAGAAGGAGGATTCGAAAAGATAGTGCCAAAACACCTTCGTCAATACAAAGACGTATTTGATAAAAAGGAGTTTGACACATTACCTGAAAGAAGACAATGGGATCATGCAATCGAACTAATACCGGGAGATCACTCCCTAGATTGCAAGATCTATCCATTGGCAAGAGGAGAGCAAGAAGAACTAGATGCGTTCCTAAAAGAGAATCTGGAATCGGGACAGATCAGACCATCGAAGTCCCCATTTGCATCACCATTCTTCTTCATTAAAAAGAAAGACGGGAAGTTGAGACCAGTTCAAGATTATAGGAAGCTAAACGATATCACCATCAAAAATAGATATCCACTTCCGTTGATCGGGGAACTAGTAGACAAATTGAGTGGAGCCAAATACTTCACAAAATTGGATGTAAGATGGGGATATAATAACATCCGAATGAGAGAAGGAGATGAGCATAAAGCGGCGTTTAGGACAAATCGGGGATTATTCGAACCACTAGTCATGTTCTTCGGACTGACAAATTCCCCCGCCACGTTCCAAATGATGATGAACACGCTTTTTAGAGAGTTGATAGATGAAGGATTAGTAATCATATATCTAGATGATATCATGATATTCACAAAGGATATAGAAACGCACCGAGCAACGACGCGACGTGTGTTAGAAATCCTGAGAAAAAATCATCTCTATCTTAAACCAGAAAAATGCGATTTCGAACAGACAGAAGTGGAATACCTGGGACTGATCATCTCAGAAAACGAAATTCGCATGGATCCGGTGAAAGTAGAAGGAATCAGCAAATGGCCAGAATGCAAAAATAAGAAAGACATACAAGCATTCTTGGGATTTGTAAATTTCTATCGAAGGTTCATAGAGGGCTTCGGGGAAGTAGCCAAACCATTGACCAAGTTAACGGGAAAAGAGGACTTCATTTGGGGAAATGAACAACAAGAAGCATTTAACACATTAAAACAACGTGTAGCTTCAGCCCCGGTGTTAGCTCTCCCAGTACCACATGGCCAATACAAAGTAGAAGCGGATAGTAGTGACTTCGCTATGGGTGCTGTCTTATCACAAAGACAAAAAGATGACTGGAAGCCAATTGCATACCTCTCCAAAGCGTTAAACCCCACAGAACGCAATTACGAGATCTATGACAAAGAACTTCTTGCCATCATGACGGCACTTAACGAATGGAGGCATTACTTAATAGACGCAGAAGAGGAATTTGAAATATGGACAGATCATCAAAATCTGCTGTATTTCAAAGAACCCAAGAAGTTGAACAGGAGACAGGCGCGGTGGATGACAGAGTTGAGTCAGTATCATTTCACGATACATCATATGCCAGGAAGGAAGCATATAAAAGCAGATCTTCTCTCAAGGCGGTCAGATCATAACAAAGGAGAAAACGACAACGAAGACGTCATACTACTGGATGAGAAACTATTTGTAAGAATGACTCTCTCTCCGGAACAAAGACAAAAGATCGCAGATAGTCAGGAGGAAGAATTAGAGATTTCAAAGTGGATTACAAAGAGAAAAGGAAATGTAGATGAATTGATAAAAAAGATGAAAGGAAAGATAGAGAGGAGAGAGGATGGATGGCTAGACGAGGACGGTCGCATAGTATTCAAAGGCAGGATCTATGTACCGAAGGATGCCGCGTTAAGGGAAGAGATTATCCGACGAAACCACGACTCTGTTATTGCAGGTCATCCAGGAAGATATAAGACAAAGGAGCTAATTACTCGACAGTACTGGTGGCCCTATATGGACAGAGATATCACGAGATACGTAGATGGATGCGAAGTCTGCCAAAGAACCAAAACAGACCATAAAAAGAAAGCGGCACCGCTTCATCCAAATGAGATCCCGGATAAACCTTGGCAGATCATATCAGTAGATCTAATCGGACCGCTACCAGAATCAAATGGATATAACATGATAATGGTAGTAGTAGATCGGTTTACAAAAATGATCAAGGTAATTCCCACGCAGATGGAGATCACATCAGAAGGAGTGGCACGACTATTTAGAGATCATGTATTCCGGAACCATGGCATACCCGAAAAGATCATCTCAGATCGGGGACCGCAATTCGTTTCGAAATTCATGAAAGATCTACATACGCTTCTTCAGATAAAAGCGAACCCATCGACGGCTTGGCATCCACAAACGGATGGACAGACGGAGAGGATCAATCAAGAGATAGAACAATATCTCAGAATCTTCGTAAACCACAAACAAGATGATTGGGCAGAATGGCTTACCCTAGCAGAGTTCTCTTACAATAACAAACAACATTCTGCGACAGGATATAGCCCGTTCTACCTGAATCATGGACATCATCCAAGAACACAGGAAGTAGTGAAAGTGGGGGTAAAGAACAAAAACGCAGAAGATTTCGTAAAGAGAATGACAGAAACAAGGAAGAGAGCAGAAAAATCGCTGCAAAAGGCAGCTGAACAGATGAAGAAGCAGTATGATAAGAAGAAAAGAGAAGCAGTAGAGTATAGAATAGGAGATAAGGTGTACGTAGAAGCGACCAATATCTCAACAGATCGACCAGCGAAGAAACTGGACGACAAGAGACACGGTCCGTTTGAAATACTGGAAAAAATAGGCGAATCGGCATATAAATTAGCGCTACCACCGACATGGCGACCTATTCATCCGGTTTTCAACGAGATAAAACTTACACCGTACAAAGAACCACAGTTCCCTTCCCAACAGAAACCTAAACCAATACCGCCGGTAATAGTGGACGGACAAGAAGAATACGAAGTCGAAGAAGTTCTAGACTCACGTCTAAAACGAGGGAAATTGGAATACTTAGTACACTGGAAGAACTATCCAAAAGAGGAACGCACGTGGGAACCCGAACAACATCTAAACAACTCACCCGATAAAGTAAAAACATTCCACGATAACAACCCTAGTGCACCCCGACGGATCCGATTTCAATTACATTTCCAACCCTTCGAAAACTTCACAACGACTAGAGTCCGAAAACAACTGTTCAATTGGGAAAACGGAAAGATGGACCCCTACTTTCGGGACGAAAGTCCTAAGGAGGGGGTAATGTCACGACTTGAACCAGAAGCGCTAGTCTAAGCGCTAAGTTTCTTTTTCCTTTTCTTTTACATCTGATCACATGACAGATAAGATATGTTAAGCTGCTGCTTTAGCGCGGATAACATAATACGTAGTTATATCAGATCACGTGACCACCACGTGACATGAGTCTAGAATTATTACAAAGAACATCAGTCAGCGCCTCATGGCTACTGCATGTTAGCTCAGTCAGCGCCTCATGGCTGACTTTCAGAAACATATATATAGTAGACCATCATGTACATACTTTCCTCAGTTGTTGATTAATTCTCAATCGTTACTTGAAAACGCTACTTGTTTGATTTGAGCTTTCATCCCTCCGTTAACTCGGTATAGGGGATAGAGGTTTTACATTTTCTAACAACAGTTCTCATCATCGACAGCGCTGAACAACTGTACAGCTGCGAACTAAGATGAAGAAGTGTCAATTCTTCACGTGTCGCTTACAAAGCCCTAACTCAATCTTCGCAATGATCGCTAGCTCATGTGCTTATTTTTGAGTTGCCAACCTTTGATGTCATCATGTGATCATGAGATGAAAAGTGTTACACTTGGTGACAAAGTAAAAAATTGCTATCTTTGATTTGAATTATTTAGATTTTTGGTTTGCGAGAAAAGCTGGACTCGGTAAATACAGATATTTATCTGGAAGCAAATCAAAAAAAAAATGGTGTCGTGTAAGACGAGATAGGTTCCCTGTGGCCACAAAGATGACACAAATTCAAAGTGATGTGCCTCGTCGCGCCGGACGTCACAGGTCAAGTCACGTCGTGTGATGGCGTCGGTTATGGATGAGACTTATCTTATCTTACTTAATTTACAATCCTAGATTGCGGCATAGCGTGAGAAATATTGTTTGCCTCTCACTTAATAGTCGAAGACGTCATACACCAGAGATGTCACGAAGCAGTGTCGACGTCATAGATATAACATTCATGAGCATGTATAAACATGTCGTCTTGTTATCAGCATCAGTCCTACTTTCCCCGTTTCTTCACTCACGTTAGTCTATATTTTATTCTATTCGAGGCTTCTTAGTGTCCAAATTGGGGAGAAAAAAATAGAGAGACAAAGGAGAAACCAGTAGGAGCTACCAGGGATCGAACCTGGGTCACGAGAAATCCAACCACGTGGGGTGCTTACGCAAGCCCAAATCAGAATCTCGGGTGATGATACCACTACACTATAGCTCCGATGGGTGTGCATCAAATATTAAGAATATCTCAGGGATAAACATTTACATACACAAATTTGCTGGACCCCAAAGTAATATTCAGTTTCACGCGGTGAGACTACGACATTGCAGACGCCATTCCACGACTTCAAAGGCGACACCATTCTGTAAACTGTTGTACAATGTCCCAAGGTACGGCTTACATTGCATTCCTATAGCATTAATGCTCATGTGCGTTGTCGTTTCAGAAAAAACTGTACCTGTAGCGCAATTGCTCTCGCGTGCACTTCATCATATTCGTACGACGCCGCCCCGTATCATTGCGTCTCCTCCAACTCGTGAGTACACAGAAAAATAATCGTTACCTTATCTTGAATATTATACCAGAGCCACGACGTGCAGCTGTAGCCCTCATCATCCGAGTCGTACCCTCTCCTTTCTCCTCACCTCCTCCGCGTGACGCACCACCGCCTACATTGACGCAATTCTTTGAACTTGACTGGGTGAACGATCCCGCTTCTCGCGCAGAAATACTCTTTCTGCGCCGGGATGGGGTCAATGCTTCGGATAGTATAATTGGCGCCGGTACGTCACAGACCGCGGGCCCCAGTGAGCATAGTTCAAAAGGCAAGGCAAAGGATGAGGCCAATATCGCTTTTCCCGGTGGAAGAATGGAAGAAGGTGACGAAGGTGGCTTGTACACAGGTTCGTCTCTTCCCCTAAATACTACGTGCCGTGCTTCATTTTACCTAATCTCAATACACAGCTATGCGTCAAACATGGGAAGAAATTGGTCTTGACCTTGCTGAACGCGACTTCACTTCCATTGGACAACTAGACGACCGCGAGATTACTACTTCCCTTGGGAAGCGGTTACTCATGATCCTCTCTCCCTTTGTTTTCCTGCAGCTTACTCCATATTCCTTATCGACAGACCCGTCCCCAGGAACAACTATCCATTGGACGCCTCTTGACGCACTCATCAGTGCTGTTTTACCTGGGAAGATCGCCGAGCGTGAAGATTGTGCTGGTAACTGGTCAACTGTGACGGTTGATGCTGCGTCGAGACTCGCTCCTCGACATGCAGCACTATTAAAGGTGTTGGTCCGGGTATTAATTGGAAGCATGCAATTCCCTGCTATCTTACTGGATGTTCCGGAATTTGAACCATCTTCCACACCGCCCTTGCCAACTGGTGCAAGGTCGGCTTACCCTGCGCTTACTCAAGATATACTCGAGAAGGGCATGCCCCCTAATAGTGCACTAAAAAAACAGAAGGTTCGCCAACGAAAACAGCTCAAGCTTTGGGGCCTCTCGCTCGGTATGACATTGGACCTCATAGCGCATATGGTAATATACTTCTCTTTTACCTTTGCAACCTTTCCTCATGGCCATTACTACAGTCAAACAATCAAAGCACTAGCAAAGCAGGGTTTTCCGCTCTGCAACTGCCTTTCCATCCTGTCGGGGGAGAAGGCATGCGCATTGACCTCGTGGCCCCCAGCCTGGCTAGCGTATTTCCGCGGTTCTCGTATCCAGATGTTAATTTCTGGATTTGGTGAGTTACAGCCTACAGACGTCTGCGCATCCGTTCGCTAATCATAGTTATCTTCAGGGTTTTCGCAAAACGTTACCGAGAGGTGGTGCGTGGTTGGGAAGCTAGCGTTTTGGGTGGAGGTACAAATGATAGACGGTAAGTAACTCTCGATTCAAGCACGAAAGACCTGAAAACTGAAATACAATACTATCAAGCATCAACTGGTCTGGCACTGCACTGAACAGCTTCTACGCCGCCGTGCGCAAGGCACTCGTCGTTGTACTTGTCCTTCGCGCTATCGGTGTTCTATTCGGGCTACTTTTTGCTGGCTGGTGGGTCTTTGCCTAGTGTTATGTTTTGAAGTTTGCGTTGTGGGAGAACGGACTTTTCAATTGCTCGCATGCTATCTGTATTCTGGACATGGGTCGGATACTGGACAGTATTGGATGTAAATGTCTAATTTTCGCTTGGACTTGTATTATCAATAGGATAGCTCTTTCACGAATACAGGCAACCTCTCTTATCATTCGGGATTCGTGTGTTCACACCTTTCGTATCCTACCTACCATTTCGCCTTCTTAGAGTACATAGACGTGCTTTGCACATAAAACAAACTTACGCATAGCAGAATGACCTTCACGATAGTACGCGTTCCATCGCTCTAGGAGCGTGAATTGAAGTTGCAAAGATGAATAAAAAATATGTTTGTGTTACGAATGTTCTATACACCCAATCAGCTGTATTCCTTTCATTCCATCCCGTCACAAGTCAGAGCTTGTTGCTGCGTAACTAGCCCAAGGGCAGACCACAAACTTCACAATCGCTCCCTGAGTGCTCGTTTTCGAATGTGCAGTGCGGGCACACTCTGATCCGAGAACTGTCACTATCTTGAGCTGCAATTTGATCAAACACGTCTTGAGGTATGTCCTCGTCCATGCGCGAAGATGAGTCAGGAGCAGAAGAGGTGGGGCGTTGTGCTACAACGCGTGATGATTAGCAAGGGAGTTCTTGTGTAAACATGTTTCACGTACGAGCACTTTCGCGAGTAAAAGTCATAAGGGTTTGCCAGCCATCAGTGGCTAGAAGAGCATCCAGGGATGTGGTATCCTCCAGGAGAGTGGGCGACGTTACTGTGCGTATTAGAATGTTCATGTCGCTCTGCATGCAGACGTTAAGAATGTTATCGAAGACCAAAGAAATATCGTACCTCCGATATTAATTGAGTCGTGCCTAAGAATGATACCAAATGCATATCACTGAGCCATCTGGCCAGTTCAAAGCGTTTCTGGCCGTCGTCGTTCGCGCTATGGCGACTATCGTGAATGTCAGGGGCGCCAATTTTAGCAAGGGCGCTCAAGACACTTTCTACTCTCTGATCTTCCAGACCAGGTCTATTTTCTATGGCGAACTTTGCAGAACGGAAGAGTGGAGAGGGATTTTGTGGAAAGCCGTGAGTAACCTAGAGCACCACGTAAAGCTCAGAGACTTGGCAAGAAGGACGCAAATCACAAACGACGTACATTTACTAGAAGGTATTCCACAGGGAAACACGGCTTGGCACTTTTCTTCACCTCGAGGCCATATTCGTTCTTGTATCTGTAGAATACATCAGGGACATATCGCGCAGAGTCTTTGTTCTGATCATCTTCTTTGACGCGCACAATCCCCGGGTCGACGCTGGCCTCGATCATATCTGCATCTACCATGGCACACGCCTGTTCAGAGACCTGATATGCAGCAACATCTACCTGACCGTCTTCTGTAGCGGTGAGGACAGCGGTGACCAAACGCGAAGCGAAGGATCCAGTGGGTGATGATTTCGAAGGCGTAGGGTTAGCATTTTGGATTGTGGCAGCGAAGATCGTCTCCAGCGAAGATAAGAAGTATGATTGGGAGTGCCTTTTGTACACATTCTTTGTGCGATCTTCTACCGTGGGATCTAGATCTGTGAAGATGTATCCCACAATGGTCAACGGGACCGATGCTGACTTCACCAGCTCTCGAATACGGGGTTCTCCTTCCCATGGAACACCCAAAGACAGTCCATCCAATTCACCCTCCTGTGGGGGTTCATAGATCGCCTCCACGACTGCTTTGATGCCCATGGGTACTTTATCGTATGCCTCATATCGCCCAATTAGCCATCCGAAACGCTGCAGCCCTGTCGCACGCCAAGCCTGAAGGAAGCGATCGATTATATCTGTTGAGGCAATTTCTAAATGGTCGACCATTCGGAATGGCTGTGGCTGAAGGGTAATGGCTGATGGTTGACAGGCTGTGCATATACCAGCTGGCCAAGGAGCATGACCTTGACTTGGACAAGGTACTTTAACTTTGTACGTCAAGGGTGCCAAAGGAGGAAGCAGGGAGGCAGAATCGGATGAGGACGTTGGAGCTATCTTACGAAGATATGCGTGGTACGACAGATGCTTGATACTGTGTTCGGTGTGGTGTGCGGAGTCGTACGGCTCGAGGGGCATGCAATAGTCACACATCCCATTCGCGCCGTGTTTACAGAAACGAGAATCGCGTCCACGAGGGATTTTGCCATCTTTGGATCTCCAATAGGAGTCCACTGCATCTTCCTGAACTGCATCCCAGACGTTCTTTGTTGTTACCGATTTGACAGTGGACGGCTGGCCATCGACATCGCCCTGCTCCACGGACGTACTTGGTGCAGCTCGAGCTTGGTAACTAACAAAGACAAGATCGCCATGCCTACAGGGACGTCAGAGGAGACATGCATGTAGAAACTTTGCGACATACTTTAGCCCAAGAGCCTCCAAGCTCCTTCCCCTTAACCCCGATACTTTTGTCTCGTTCCCTCTCGGCTGATTTGAGATTGTGAGCGTTGATGGATCAGCATCGACAGTGGTCTCCAGAATCTGTGCGGCTAAGACTCAGAACAGACAGAAACTGTCAGATTTGGCGGCACCTTACTTTGTTCACCAATTCCGATATGCTAGATGTCGGAGAAAGCTCGAAGCGAAAGTTTCCATCCTTGGATCTGATTCTGACCAGCTGCTTATGACTCAACATCTAGAATATCCTTGGTTACAACCAAGATGGCTCACCATGGTCAGAGCAATATCGCGTTATGTGTTGGGTGAATGTGGTTTAAAGACAAGATGGGCTGGCTTGGATTTACTAGTCGCGGTACACGTACCCTATAGACGCGTCATGCTGACTAAGCGCGATATATAATTAAGATAATGCTGGCTTGTCTCTGTGGTAAGGAAACAAACAAAATCTGAGGTAAATCCTTGGTAGATCGTACAGCGTGGAAATGACAGGGCTGCCATGGATTCATGAATTTTCAGGATAATCTACATTATGTTATTTCGAGATAAGTTCGCCGTATATCCGTCATGAACATTAAAGGCAAAACATTCCTAGTCTTTACGTAAGAAATTGCTAATTCCGCGCGTTTGTATCCTCACTGCAGTAGGTCATTTTGTGTCGCAATCTTAGGAAGCTATTGCGAATCGAACACCTCAATATCGACATCTGGCCTGGCGTGCGTTCCGGACGCCATGAATACAGTTTATCCAGCAGTAAACGCTCCTTCTCGTTATGTATCCTTCTCTGGGCGAGTCTGCAGACGCAGAGTTCGCAGCTTTTGGTTCGGGCGCCCAACAAGAATCAAACTTCTGGGATCGTTTTTTTCTGCACCACGAAATGCGTGAAGGCTCACATTCTCAGTCTAACCAAGGAGACCGCGGTGTTAACAGAAGGTCACGCTCAGTAAGTGCTGCACCTGGATCTGGTTCAAATACCGGTCATGTATGAATTGCACTTGCCTTTATCTCGTCTATCTTTCTGATTTCGATCGCAGGAAAACCAGCGTGGCTCGGTACCAAACCCTCAATTCAATCCTGCGACCTTTCCTATGCCTGTGAATATCCCCCAGGGCGTGCCGTCGCAGGCTTACGATTACCTGATCCATGCGTTGATATCCATGCAAGGGTCGTTGCCGCAGCATCCATCACATTTGCCGCTTCCTACAAATTATCCACAAGGAGGACAATCCAGCCAACTGAATACAACATTGCCACCAAATACCTATCCTAATTGGCAGCAGCCTTCGATCCCCATTCCTTACAACCTGCAACAATCGGTCCCGCCCTTTCCCGGAATTCCATCACAGTATCCTTATCCAAATCAATTATCCCAGTCGCTGCCTTCCGGTACTTCTCGTACCATGCCAGAGTTGTCGGGAGCATCTTCAGCTGCAGCACCAACGCCGTCTACATCCCCACAACAAGAATCAGCAGATCAGGAGGATAATGATACAGCGTTCATCTCGGACGATAAACGGAGGCGCAATACCGCTGCATCAGGTACTTGCATATATCTTCTAAATATAAAGCACAGTCGATTAATGGTGTGGCTGTACTCAAGCCCGATTTCGGATTAAGAAAAAACAGAGAACCCTTAATCTAGAACGGACGGTCTCTGATTTGACTGGCCGAGCAGAAGAGCTTGAGCGAGAGGCCAGCGAGCTGAGGCGAGAGAATGGTTGGCTGAAGGAAATCGTGTTGTTGAAAGGACGAAGTGTGAGAGGTCTTGACCCAGGTGGGTCACATAACGACACTGTGGGGAGTGCGCAGGGACAACAACGGACATTCTCACGGGAATCGGATGGTGAGTCGGATGGTGACGACGAAGAAGAGGCGCCTAGTAATAGGGGTAAGGGCAAGAAAGGCAAGAAGAAAAGTGAACGCAACTGAAGAACTTCCCAAAATTTCTTTCAAGCTGGTCATGTGGTCATTAAAGCTGTTTTCTGTCCCGGTTTATACCACAGTATCGTGTATTGTAGAAAGCCTTGCATTTTTTTGTTCTGTAGGCTGGATTCGGATTTTGTGTACAATACGCTGTAGTCGAGCCTTCCCACGGTCTTTCACTCTGACCAAATGTCATTTGGGAGACCACCATCCATAAACGTCGGGTTCAAAACTTCTCCTCCAGACCGTGGCTCCTTTCCTCTTGATCACGATGGCAAGTCTGGTTACCACATAGGAAACCACCGTCTGACACTGAGACCTATCTTCAGGCGAATGCAGGGATGCCATGTTGTCATACATGGCATGCTTGAAGAAGAACTCCAGTACTTCCAGCCCATGTCGAGACCTGAGCAAGCATTACCTCGAGTGCCGAATGAAAAAGTACGTCGCATTTCTAGTAGTATTTGATACATTGTCACGAGCTCCTTCATGCAGTGGGTTGATGGAACGCGACGAATGGAGGAACCTTGGACTCGCCAATGTGGATAAAAAGAGTACAACTGCTAGCACGACATCAAGTACAGATGAAAGCAATAGAAAATGACCACTTGATGATTGAGGGGTAGACAAAATAGAATGTAGGTTATGTCTTGCCTCCTAACAGTAATACTCCACCTGGCCTTGTTGCTTATTATATTTGGGTTGAGCTCATGATCAGAAGCCGTTTGCTAGACACATTCAGCAATGCTTTATTCTGGTCTCGTTCCTTTATGTGAATTATCGCATATCATGACTCTCATCTAATCTCATTGCTACGGTCCGATGAGCAACTTATGCCGCTCGTATATAAAAGCAGACGTGATGTTACTAAGTCACCAGTGACCAAGAAGCGCGATAGTTAGGGCTTAGCTAGGTTTGGATTATTTTTCCATGTCCAAATGTTCCATCTTTGAGCAATTGATTCTTGGCTACCGTCTCACTGCACTTTGCCATTTAGTTGCCCTGTCAAGCCATTATGATAATTGTTTCGAACAGGTTTGCTCCTCTGATCAAGTTTCATTCACAGTTTTACAGGATCACGCTGAGACCGCATCAGCAATTGATTTTTTCTGTTACTGCCATGCCTGCCATGTCCTCAATACGATCGAACGTTCGCTGTTCACTTTCACATCGGATCAGGATTGAGACGGCTCGGCGATTGCCTTTGATCTGTAACCTTTATCTCTCGCGGAAAACTGCACTGTCCGTCGACGAAACCAGTATTGCATCAAATCGAGGCTAATCGTCCTGTGTTTGCGCGCCCACCCAGCTGGTGCCCCCTGGCACGTTCGTGGAGCTAGCAAGGTGTGAGACGGCAAGCTTAGCATGCCTCACTTAGGCTTACGGAGGCAAATTTAGAACCCATCGCGGTGCTCCTTGGATGCACCTCTGGAGCGGAAGACAGAGAGAATCTCGGGGAAGCGGGGCCAAGAGAGCGCATTCGCAGCTCCTTGCTATACATACCTTCGCCTTTTTGCACTTCCCGCATGCATTAGCCCCACGACCATGGACCGTGACCAACGGGGCTACATTTTAGAGCAAGAGCCTTGTCAGAAAGGCGAGGAGCATGTGAAGTTGAGTCGTTCTCGGACTTTCAAAGTCAAGAACGTTCGTTTCGACACTGGGTCGGCGGGGTCCGCATCGTGGTACAGCATGCTGTGTCTCATCTACCAAAGTTCAATAATATACTTCCCGGACTACATTACTAGGAAGCCGTGTGCCGCGGGATATATGAATCAGCTGGAGTTTCTTAAGTGACCGCCCTCCAGGACACCCTCATAGGCTGATGGTTCTGCTCCCTTTCCTTGCTGTGTTACTTTTGACCACAAGTTTCGCATTTTCTTCTCCTACACAAGAACATTTAGACGCCCCTCAAAAACCCCAGTCCAAGTACTTCGATGTACAAGTACGTCGAAGCTCATTTTTGCCTACCTTTAGTTATGTAACCATTTCGGTTGTTAGGCGCATCGCGGGGGAAGGGGAAATACAATGGAGAGCACACTTCCTAGCTTCGCATGGTACGTTCTTACGTTCGTTATCAAAGCAACGTGCTAACACCCTAGCTTCCAGGGGACTCATAGATGGAGCAACCACGTTGGAACTAGATAATGGTATCACTCAAGTGAGTAGTCCAGGGTGTCATTTCGAAAAAGATTACCGACCATCGAATAGGATGGGGTGGTTGTCGTCTGGCATGACGAGAGTATATTACCAGAGAAGTGTTCTGATACAGAACCTATCGTGAGGGACTATATCATGTCAATCTTCGTCCATTAACTCACGTTCCATCAGTCTCCAGACGACCCCATGTTTCCATATGTGGGGAAGTATATTGCCAATCTGACTTTGGCCCAGTTGAAGACGCTTGATTGTGGCTCAAAGCGACAAATTAACTACCGTGAGCACAGAACTCTCGATCTCGAGGCGTCTCCCATCTAACAGGCACCCATCTTCTCAACAGCCATGCAGCTTACATACCCTGGTGCCCAGATATCGACGCTACAAGAGGTGTTCGACTTTGTGGAATGCGCCGACCCATCGCATCAAATGCTATGGAATATAGAATCCAAGATCGACGCTCGCTATCCCAATCGCACGTTGGGGGTTCGAGAATTCGTACAAAAGCAGCATGATATATTTATATCTAGCCCGTATCTAAAGTCAATCACAGTGCGTACCTGAAAGTAAATCTTAAAGGAAGATAATAACTAGAGGGTCTAGTATCAGAGCTTTGACTGGAGAGCAATTGTGGCAATGAAGGTACTATACTCCCTCGCACACACACATGTTTACTTTTCCTCATGATATGTCAGTCACTTAATCCAGAAATCACGACATCTGCCCTGATTGACGAGTAAGTAGTATTAAAATTTGCTGTTACCCCTCGCTAACAATATATTCACAGTGAGACTAGCGCAGCCTCACCTGGGTCTGCATCTCCGTGGCTTGCGGGCCTTCGGCTGGACGACTTTCCAGGATCTTCGCCTGATATTCGAATTGCGCAAGCAGCTCGTGCAATCGATGCAGACATTTTATCACCGTCCACATCATTCTATATCACGCCCCCTGACCCAGCAGCAAAAGGGTCTACTCAATTTACAACGAAGGAGATGGTCGATGAAGCACACCGATTAGGCATGAAGGTCAAGCCGTGGACTGTGAGTTACGATCGTTTTATTTGCGGCGAAAATACGAATAAGAAATTATGTATAGGTAAATCGGCTTGATATTGTAGACCAGATAATAGAATGGGAGGTAGATGGGATCATCACTGACTGTACGTACGCATCGTTTAGCTCGAAAATCAGCGACCGATATTTTTTGTAGATCCCAATGTCGTACGAAGATGGGCTAAGCAACAGGGTTTGCGGGTAGCGCCCAAATTTCCAAAGCAGCGAATTTTTGCATGTCTAGAAAAGCATATGTAGTGATCATCTCAATTGTAAAACACCATGGATTTATTTGATAATTAATTAGAAGTGATAATAGCACACAACATAGACAACATTATCAACACGCTCGTCCTCTAAGTTTACTTGGGTCTCACTCGCGGCTTTGCATGCGGCGATGCAATGCGGAAGGGATCGGGTGCATGCGGACTTGAGTGTAGCAATTGAACTCCGCCTGCAGCAAAATCATCAGTTGCCGTCGTTGTCGCAAGTATCGTTGGCAGAGCATACATACCTCCTCATCGCCATGGCCTCCTTTCAAGCCGTGAAAAAAGCGGTCAACTTACCGCCCACTGTGCGCACGCTCCCCAGCGGAATTCCCAGCGCACCACGACTCAATCTCGCTGCGCGAGCTCCTGCGTCCGGACACCATGACCACGGCCATGGCGCGTCTGGTCCTCGCGCAGACGTCCCCACTCGTTTCACCGGTGTATCGAGGAATTCAGCAACTGGTCTCGTCTCCAAGACTTTCGTTGTTGGTGAGTTGGCGCTTTTTACTTACCTTTGCTCGCCATCTACTGTATGAGTGCTAACGCCGACCGAACTGGCTTCAATCGAAAAAAAAAGCACCTACCACCACCATCTTCTCGCCTCGTCTTATCCATAGTTCTGCAGTAGCGAAGGACGCACCTGAAGTCCCCGACTTCACGCCTTACCAGGCCCAGTCTGATTCCACCAACCGCGCGCTCTCCTACTTCATGGTCGGCTCGCTCGGTGTCCTCTCCGCCTCCGTCGCAAAATCGACTGTGACGGGTTTCCTCGAGACGATGTCGGCCTCTGCTGACGTGTTGGCGCTCGCCAAGGCCGAAGTCGAGCTGGGTGGCATTCCCGAGGGCAAGAACGTCATCATCAAATGGCGCGGCAAGCCCGTTTTCATCAGGCACAGGACGTCCGACGAGATTCAGGAGGCGAAGACGGCGGATTGGAAGAAGTTGAGGGACCCACAGAGTGATGAGGACAGAGTGAAGCGACCGGAGTGGTTGGTGATGTTGGGCGTGTGCACGCATTTGGGTTGTGTACCAATCGGAGAAGCTGGTGACTATGGAGGATGGTGAGTATCATGACGCTTTTGCTGGTGTCGGTTCTCATTAGAGTGGTGCAGGTTCTGCCCATGTCACGGTTCACATTATGATATATGTAAGTCAGTCGAACTTTTTCAGCTGTACGTCTAATGACATTCCCTTTTAGCTGGACGTGCTCGCAAGGGTCCTGCTCCAGTAAGTCTGGATTATGATAGGAACGGATCATCTCCTCATCTTTTCTTTTCAGTTGAACCTCGAAGTCCCACCTTATGACTTCAATGACGCAGAAGGCAAACTCGTAATTGGATAGTCAACTCGGCGATATCTTAATTGTCTCTGTAATTGGCCCCTAGACACCAACAATGGAAATATTTTATTGTGGCTAAATGCGAGCTTCCTCGTGCTTTTTTTAAAAAAATATGTGCAGTGCTGGAGTCATTATGAGCTCGCATTAAATGCTAAAAGTACATACATGTACATGTTGAGGGTAGAAATGTGTAGTACTGAAACCTAAGATATGATAGATAGCTAGTCCCGCCAGATGCCTAGCATATGTGCGTGACAAACAGGAGAAACCACTCTCCGAGTCATGGACCTGAGTTTGTTATCGTACACAAGACCGTCAGATGGCTGCATGTCGAATAATAGGGGTAGATATGTCTGGTATGAGGTGAGTAGGGTACATATATCACAAAGATACGATATACATTGAGAAGGTTGGTATCACTTGATGAGATAGGAAGCATCAGATTGATTGCAGATTAGATCGATTAGAAGGGACGCGGAGAAGCGGATGATGATCCTCTTCTGCCCAGCATACGAGCGAAGCCATTTGACTTTTTGTCTTCTTCTGCAGTCACACTGGGCCGTCTGAGCTTCTGCCAAAAACTGGATGGTGCGCTAGGCAGGGGCGAGGAAGGCGAAGCAGATATACGGCTGTGACTAGGGGGAGTCGAAGGAGAATTGGACTTTTTGCGCAGGAGGAACGTGGACGAGCGTTTGGCGATAGGTATTGGAGCAGAATGCGGGGTAGAAGCTTCTGTCACGTTTTGATTCGGCGCGGTTGGCCCAGAATGGCTCGAGTCGGAGCCGGAAGAAGTCGACTCTGGGGGAGGAAAGGAGCGACCGGACCGAGATCCAGCCGAGCCCACTGAAGAGCTGACGGAAGAAGACAAAGAAGAAGGAAGGGAAGGCGGGGTGGGCCGATCCTCTTCGGTCTTCTCCTCAGCCACTGGCTCGATGGCTTGGATTGCATGCGTGGACACTGCCAGTGGAGAATCAGGGTGCGCGATAACGGGTAGGGTGTTGTCGTTGCGGTTCCTATTCCGCCTACCGCCAAATTTGGGCCCCCTTTGCTGATCCGCCTCTCGGTGTGCATCGGCACTGGTGTTGATGCTATCGAATTCAAAGATCTCTTCAATTGGGCTTTCAGAAACGTGGTTTCCACTCGCAGAAGAAAGACTGCGCCCGAAGTGTGGTTTTATGGGGCTAAGTGGTAGGCCAACGACAGATCCTGCAGGGGAACCGACGTGTGTCATGTTGAAGTCCCATGAATCCATCGTGCCGTGTGTCATCATGCTGGGCTGACAGCGCCGACGCTCTTGACGCTGTGCCAGAGGTGGAAGGCCATCGAGTATGGCGCCAACCAGGTAAGACTTTTTCTTAGCGGACTTGAAGAAGGGTGACTGTAACAATTGAGAGGCTGTTGGACTTTGACTATGTCAGCGCACCGCAGCAAAGATGAGATAAGAGGTTGGTCACCGTTTTGAGGGATCTTTTACGAGACAGCTATCTACTACATCTTTGAACGCCCTAGAATATTTGTAAAAGCCGCCGTCTCGGTCGAGCATAGGAGGCGCCCCCTGCACCCTGTTAAACAATGATGCTGAGAAATTTCAACATGAGGCACGGGCAAAAACACGCACGTGTGAAGTAAAACTGCATGCGGACTGTCTCTGAACCCGGGTGGGCGACCTTGGGTCAATTCAAGGGCAGTGATAGCGAATGACCATACGTCAGCGCTCGAGTCGTACTGTTTTCCCTGAATAAGCTCAGGGGCCATCCAGCACGGCTTCAATAAGATAGAATGAGTAAGAAAGATATAACGTAAGCCGTCGGTGTCACTTACGGTGCCAACGAATGACTTGCGTTTTCCCATTTTGGGACGCGATAGAGGAAGCGTCTTGGAAGCAGAAGTAGGGTCGAAATTGAAGCGATTGCTCATGGGATTGGCGTGCTTATGCGAGCTGTCGCCCTCCTCTACGAGAGAAGCTGCTACCCCCAAATCACCCAAGAGGACCGTCCCGTCATCGTCAATCAGAAGGTTGGCAGCCTTTACGTCACGATGGATAAAGCCGTTGACATGCAAGTAGCTTTTAATAGCGAGAGTGGAGAAACGAGAAACGGTTAGATCGTTACGGCAAAAGAAGCGGTTACTGCTCCACTCACTTTAAACCCTCAAGTGCCTGCTTGAGTACAGACTTGACGACCTCTTCTTCCATGCCACCGGGCCAGCCGTAATGCATCACGTCGGCTGCGCTGCCCTTGCTCATGAGACGTGTTGCGATGTATAATTTGTGGCCGTCTATCCATGTTCCACGTACACGGAGAACATTGGGGTGTTTGGAGAGAGACATGAGCTGTGTTTCGCGGCGCAAAAGAGAGAGAGAATGGGGAGGGAGGGAGTCGAGATCGAGCACCTTCAAGGCGCACGGTATGGGGGGCCCCGGTGATGGTGGGGTATAGACAGCAGAATAGACTATAGATGAAGCGCCATAGCCAATAGGGGAACCGATTGAGTAGTCTGATGAACGGTCACTGGGAAGAGATGAACGAAGGAGAGAAGTGTGAGTGTTGTGGTGCGTACCTGTATAGCTGCCACTCGTCGTTGACGGCCCCTATGAACTTCTTGTGGAGGTTTGCAGCCATTTCTGTGGATGTGCTGCTGGGAACCAGGTGTACAGCCAGGACGGAGCCAGGTTTTATATGAGACCAAGCAGACCTGCGGTGGGACTGAGCTTTGGCTTCGCTGCTGTCCATTCATTACGATCAGATCTTATGTAAGATCAATATGAGCACCAATGTGGCTTATCTAGGGTGCACGTGTGCCTGTCACATTTCAATAGCGTGCAGTCACGCATGGTCACGCCGAGCTCGCTTGCCCGCTTGCCCGTCCCGAACGCCTCCTTCCCCTTTCTTGCTTGCTTTCCTCCGCTGCGCCCTCTTGCTGACTTGCCGCCTTTCCTTTTCGTCCTGTTACATGGCACCAAAGGAAAAATGCGCTAAATACCAGTACGTTGTCACTTCTTCGGGACCTCAAATAGTCCCTGTACCAGACCAGGAATCGAAGGAAGAGGAATCGCCTGCTGATTATAATGCTGGCGGTTACCTGCCTATCAAGATCAACGATTCCTTCAAACATGCCCGTTACACTGTAGTCCGCAAACTTGGGTTCGTCTCTCTTTTTTACCCCCTCCTTCATTACCGGAACTGATCATCCCGCTAGTTGGGGTCATTTTTCGACAGTATGGCTCGTCAAGGATGCGCAGTATGTCTCTTCCGCCTTTCATAGACCCCTCTTGTAGTAATCGTTCCACACAGTCAACGCCGTCATTCAGCTTTGAAGGTCGTTAAATCCGCAGGTCGCTATTCCGAAACTGCCCGAGACGAGATAAAGCTGCTTTCTCAAGTCGCTGCCGCCAATCCCCTACACCCTGGCCGCTCGCACATCGTCTCCTTCTTCGACTCATTTGATCACCCCGCTCCGAATGACCTGCATGTATGCATAGTGTTTGAACCGCTTGGCGAGAACCTTCTTGCTCTTATCGAGCGCAACAAGAAGAAAGGCGTTCCTCCACCATTCGTAAAGATTATCTCTAAGCAGATTTTACTAGGCTTACAGTATTTGCACGACGAATGCGACTTGGTTCATACAGATATCAAACCTGAGAATATATGTTAGTGCTCCCGTTAATCTGTCGACTTCTCCAGTGCTCACCCTGTATCCCTGCAGTAATTTCAATACCGGATATTGAATCCCACATTAATACAGAACTTTCTCTGTCTTCCTCTCCCACGTCCCGTCGTGTCGATGTCCCGATGCCCACCAAATCGCGATCCGGCATTTCGATCCCACAGCGTCGCATTATTGGCCGTGAACGCCATGTTCAGATATTTGATTCGCAACCACTATCAAGCCCTTCGTCTAGGAGTGGTAGCATCAGTGCAAGCGCAAGTCGTCACAATTTGAAGATGTCCGTGCCGAGTATCATCTCGCTTGGCCAATCCTTTACCAGTTGTAGCGCCAATCAGCCATCAGAACCATTGAGTCCTTCAATATTGTCGTCCTCTTCCAGCCTAGTCAGCACGCCACCGACATCTGTTGGTAATTCCGATAATGCTATATTGACTAAAATGGCAACAATGACCATGTTAAGCCCTGCTGTGAAGACTGATGATCAATCAAATGAACAGCCTGTCCAGCCCCAAAGTCATTCGCCGATAGTGCTATCGTCGCAGGTGTCGCATGATTTCACCATTGCTGCCGGTAAACCCTCGCTGCTCACCCAGACCGCACCACATAATGAACGACCGTCCTCTCCTGAGTCGCGAGGCCTGTCATCCCCTAGCTCTTCATCCCCGTCTACCACACCTAATGCGAATCCTACCTCCACACACTTGCCCATAACCGTAAAGATCGCTGATCTTGGTAACGCAACTCCCTCGAGGAAACACTACACAGAGGATATCCAAACGCGGCAGTACAGAGCTCCTGAAGCCATACTCGGACGTAAAGACTGGGGAACGCGCGTCGATATATGGAGCGTGGCATGCCTCATATTTGAGCTGCTCACTGCCGAGTACCTGTTTGATCCACATGGACAAGGTGAACTTTTCACTAAGGACGACGACCATATGGCGCAGATTATGGAGTTGATGGGCGACTTTCCGATGGAGGCCAAGATGGATGGGAAGTATAGCAGAGAGTTGTTTGACCATTCGGGTCAGTATGGATCGCTCTTTGATACCATGTTGCTACTAAAGCTGATTGCTCGTTGTAGGGTCACTTCGGTACATCAAGACCCTGAAACCGTGGCCGCTCAATCGAGTCATGACTGAGAAGTATTTGTTTTCTTCTGCCGAATCTGCAGAGCTGTGCGCGTTTTTGGAGCCAATGCTCGCCGTTGATCAACGGGACAGAAAGGAGGCTCGAGACGTCGTAGGGCATCCGTGGCTGGAGGTGAAAGACGAAGAATGGGTGGGTTTAGAAGACTGGTGAGCCAGCTATCGCACGACCCCCAGTACAAGCCTCGAGGTCCTACGTCATAGGACGTGGCAATGCTCTTTCTTTTAATGCTTTATGCTTTATCTTATCTTATTCTATTTCTATTCCTGCCTTTTTCTTTCTTCCGGGCTCACTGTTTCTCACACTGGATTGACTGCACACTAGAGGTATATATGGTGAATAGAGGTTCCATCTTCATTCTTCCGACTCTTTGCTCTTCCTGGTCTTTTTTGGCATTACGAGGTGATTATACGGGTACTTCAGCTGTCTGTTTCCCTTCTACTGCCAAGCTTTTTGTTTTTATTATTATTGTTTCACCACATATACCCCGCATGACTGTGACGACGTTACTCTTTGCTTGTGAGCAGGCTTTCTGTGTCTCCCCTGTTCTGCTATTCCCGTCTGTACAAGTAGGCCATGATTGTACGACCTTTATACATATGATTCCACTTTGAACTTGCTGAGCCGGTCCGACTTCAATCAAAACCGGTCAAACTTGCCAATCTCCTCCCCCCTTGATTAGGCTACGAGACTGCAACCATACAACTCCCCTACTCGAACATATGGCTGATAGCGCTAAAGATGCAGTGTCGCAAGCTGGAGCTGCCTTCAGGGAGGTGAGTTGCGGTTGTGGTTCTTGCAGTGTTATTTGATGTCGCTAGTCCTGATCCCACCTTGCGACGTTTTTAGGACGGAAAATTCGGGTCTGTGTTTGGGAGGGACTGCACAGAAGGTTGACCTTGCCTTCCCCTTTCTGGTACTGGGCGGCTCGATTGTAGAGTTCACGACGGATGGATTAATGGGAGGTTTGTGGGATACGTTAATGAGCAGCAATCGAAGCTCACCTTTCCTTCTTCGCCATGTGACTCGCGGTAGGCACGGCACAGATTGCAGGCGCAAAAATCAGTGAATGTGAGCAGGATTATTCTATGCACGGTGGTGATATTGGCGCGTGATGGACTGACAGTCACTCCTTTTCTTTTCCGCTGTCGGTGGCAGCTGCTAATACAAAACAGAACCCTCAGAGTGGGTCAACAGATAGATCGACTAGACCTGCAGATCGTTGATTCTTGTATCGTGCGGTAGTTATTTGATGCATAAGAACATGACATTCAAATTATAGCATATTTCACCATACACACAAAATCTCAGCGCTTCACCGCGTACTTGTAAGGCCCTCACTACTATTGCTTAAATCGTGTATTTTTTGAGGGAGAATGGAGGCTCCCGCCGCTGGGTAAGCCCAAAAGGGGGGGGGGGGGGGGAAGACACGATAGACAGATAGCATATTACACATATGTCATAGTACTCGGCACTGCTTCCATCGCGGGATCAGTTGGCACTTGCACAGGAAGATGAAGTGCCCCCTCAACCTGTTTACCCGGCACTTTGATCCTAGCCCAATATCTAGGAACAATATCACCGACGCGTACTTGGACGTCGATGTCTCCTTTTTTAGCTGCAAATACTGCACAATACACTCTTTGTGCAATGACCTTCTCCAGACGACACTGTCTGACATGGGGGAGATGCATAACAGCGAGTGATGCACCGCGACATGATCGCGACACATGCCCAAGGCTGACCAGATCATCTACATCCATGAGGAGAGCAATTTTTTGCCAAATCTCTGTAGGAAGATAGCCAACTTGAGTGGTATTGATACAATCATTCTGCGACGATAGCGGTACAGGAAGGCTGTTGTCATCCTTCCGTATGTCCTGAGGGGATGTCTCATCAAGGTTAAGAAATGGACAGGCTCTGAGGTATCTTTGCATGATGTCAGGATCAGGCCGATGAGCGAGTCGGACAAGGGCTGTGATGCCCTCTGTTGAAGGTGACGTCGCAAAGAATGATAGCAAGAACTGCAAGGCAGGCGTGTGGGTGAAAGACCCTCCTGCAAGTCTATTGATGCGCACGATAACACAATGATAGATGGAAAAAGCGACACCGAAAACGACAGCGTCTTTGTTTGGGCATTTCATCACTTCATCGACCAATCGCACAACAGATCCCTGCAGATTTTTCTCGTCGTCGAGATGTGTTGTGATATGAACGCATGTGTCTCGGCGAACCCATACAAGTTCTGTTACGGAGAGACGGTCAGAGGGATCGGGCTCTCGACCAAGCGCGTAAGTGTTAAATGGGAGATTAGCCACCAAGCATGCAATTGACCAGTAGTATGGCTCGATCTCTCTGTGGTCCGCAAAACTCTCAAATTCTTTGAAGGCGACGGACAATGCCTGATTAGTGATGCATTGACCGATCAGCACTTCGATCAGCCCAACACGAACTGATTCATTGTCTGTGAGATGGTCGTGGAGGGATAACATGGTGCCCATCGATACAGCTGTATCACCACTGGAGAGATCGTGATAACGTGCGAGAACGCTCTCGTCAACCGCAGGAGGTGGGACCTTCCAGTTATACTGAAATTTAGCAGGGCATTCAACACTACAAGCTTGAGCTTTGTAGCTATCCTCACTAATTACGGCCACGAACGTATATGGGTCAGGGAGGTTGTCGAGGAGGAAGAATGGCTGACCATTGACGTGAAACGTGTTTCTGTCGAGGTCAATGATATAGATCCAATCGATGGTAAAGTCGTCGTGTGGTGGAACACGAGTGACACTGAAGTCCGAGTTGGGCCCATCCGGAAAACATTGCTCGTCCTCGCATTTATTTAATGCAGCGTCAAGCTGTTCTTGCAGCTGTTGAAGATTCCGAGGCTCGGCCTCTGCAAGCATCTGCTTGCCAAGTCCTTCTGGGTACGAATCATTACGATTATAATACGAGAAATATCATTTCTTGTAGCGGTAGACTCGATATCCACGTGTCCCCATGATGAGTGCTGAGCTAGGACGATAGCTAGAACTTGAAGCTGCTGTTCAAGATGCTTTGCATCAGGGGGTGAACTGTTATGGCCAGATGGAGCCAAGATATTATAGTAGTCGGTTGGTTACAGTTGAAAACTCTATTTTCTCCGAGTACCGGCATCCTCATTTTCATTCTCCGTTATACAGTAGATATCGCAGCGGTCCCCGACTCTGTGCAACAAGTCGCTGATGCCGTTGAGAGGATGTCGCGATTTCCTTTTTTAGATGTTTGTTTCAAGTTGCCATTTTGCGACATCATGTGATCGGCTAACACCGAGCCCAAGTTACGAGATATTTCCGGAAAAGGAAAGTCTAGTACAAGATGGACCCACCACAGCGAACGACGTCTTCCCCTCATATTTAGTCTCTTAAGCGGGATCCCCTTCCGCATCCTTTCCTCCTCTTTCCCCGTCGTGCTGTCGTCTCTGTCTCTGGCAGTCATCCGCGACGTTCCCGGAGAAGGCTACACCGTTCTACACCAATCCTGGTCTCCTCAAGATGTCGCCGTTGGGTTCTATGCTTGTGTCCGTCCTTGTGGGTGTGCTCAAGGCTGGTGCTGTAGTCGTCTTGCTTTTGTTAGCAAGAGGACTTGTTTGGGCCATCAATATGCTGTTTATACAGCCTCTGTTCGACCCTCTAAAGAACATGCAAGGACCTGGCGGTTCGCTACTGCAAAACCACTTTCGCGAATTCATGGAGTAAGTGTCGTTCCCTCGGAGTTGGGACATTAAAAACCGACTATGCATTCCTGACATTTTACCCTGGAATAGTCCGAGCATATCACCAGACACTCACGAGGATTCGGTGAAGCTGTACGGCAAGACTTTCCGTTTTCATGGGTTTGGTCGTGTAAGTCGCCTTCATTGTAAATGGCAAGCGGCAGAGCTGATGATGTGGATGTGAATAGCATGACTATCGTCTGATGTCCTTGGACCTCCGAGCCATTTCGTACATCCTGAATTCTTCAGTGTACGAAAAACCCTGGCAGACTCGCTCGCTTCTGTCAAGATTACTTGGGAAAGGTGCGTGCTTTTCATCAACCACACTCTCAACTGCCTATTGAACGTGATACGGTAGGTATATTTGCGATGGAAGGCGAGGAGCACAAGGTCTTGGTAAGATAACAAACCTATCCTATCGACGATTAAAATCATACGGCGGCTAATACTTGTCGACAGCGGAAATTGATTGCACCAGCTTTCTCTACGCAATCTGTGAAAGCCATGACACCCATATTTTACCAAAAAGCCGAGGAACTCCGTGATCGTTGGGAGGACATCACGTCTCGAGCCACATCTCAAGAAGTCTCTTTCACCCCTACTGCACCCACTCCGACGTCCTCGACAAATTCGTGTGTTATCGATGTATCTCACTGGATATCGCGCGCGACGTTCGATGTGATAGGGCTGGCTGGTTTTGATTACCATTTCCGTTCTCTTCAGGATGAATCGGAAGAAGTTTACTTGGCTTACCGGAATATGTTTGGTGTCGCTGATAAAGGGCCTGGTTTGAAGGGACTTGTACAGATATACTTCCCGTTCATTGAGAAAGTTTTCGTGTGTATTTTCCATATCTTCTTGCTTCCTACGTATACTAAGTTATCAATACAGCCTGACGAAGGCTCTAGGGTGACGCAAGAAAGTCTCCGTGTCATCCATAATGCTGGAAAACAGCTGGTTCATAACAAGAAAGTTGTTATCTTAGCAGAGAAGGCTGACGCGAAAGATATCAAAGAAAAGGACATTCTCAGTCTACTCAGTGAGTATACCGAGCTTCTCTTAGCTAAAAACGAGCCTGCTAATCTTTTTCGTACAGTCAAATCCAACCTCTCTTCCGATTCATCAAAACGTCTGTCGGATGGAGAACTTCTCGACCAACTTTCCACATTTTTATTTGCCGGTTCCGATTCTACCTCGCTTACTATCGCGTGGTGCATACACCTTCTTTCTCTTCACCCTGACATCCAAAAACGTCTTCGCGACGAGCTTCTCTCCCTCCCTGTAAACCCGGTTTCGGACGCATCGCAGGCCTCTACTGAGATCATCGATGCTCTACCATTCCTAGACTACGTCGTGCGCGAAACACTGCGTCTTTGCCCCTCCGTTCATGGCACGATACGAGTAGCCACTCAAGACGACACCATCCCAATTTCGTCGCCCATCGTACTGCGCAACGGCACAGTCGTCCAAGCGGGCGAAGAAATACCCATCAGGAAAGGCTCCTACGTCCATATTCCCATCGAGGGCTTGAATATGAGCGCTGATATATGGGGAGAGGACGCTCGGACATTCAAGTATGTTCTCATCTTTTTCTACTCCCTCTGTCATATGAGTGTGGTGTATTGAGTAATTCAACTTTAGCCCCGATCGTTGGTCATCCCTCCCAGTCTCTGCTCGAGTGCCATCACATCCCGGCATCGCTAACCTTATGACGTTCTCCTTCGGCCCTCACGCCTGCCCAGGCTGGAAATTCTCCATCTTGGAGACCAAGATCTTTTTGGCAACGCTGCTCCCCCACTTTGCCTTCGAGCCAGCTGAGGACATCCGCAAGTTTAATGCCATCTTGACGCGACCATACGTATACGACCAATTCGAGAAAGGCTCCAGATTGCCACTCAAGGTCACAAAGTATACGTCATGAGCGGATGGGTCTCTGAATCGTTGTTGGTGTTGTGTGTCCAAGAACTATCTGATATTACATTATATACCAGAGCAAGATTTTGAGGCTCACTTTTTGTATTTCTACAAGCTAAGTACTATTCTACCGTCCAGAGCTCGTTCAGATATTCCCAGAGGATGATCTTATTACCTGTCCAACTTATCTTGCTTAGCCTCTACTTTGTTTGTATTACACAGTTACACAGGATAAACGATAGATTGCAATTCCACTTGGTTTCAACTGGCATAACAAAGAATAATACTTCGATCATTAAGACACTTCTGTGATCTCGACGCTTTTGAGAGTAGTCACTAATAATCCAATATCCGAGTTCACATCGGCGTCGCCATTTATGTCGAGTACTGATGAAGTACCCGCAGCGAGAATACTACGTCCTTTCAGAAGTCCCAAGGGTGAAGGTTGGTGAACAGAGAAAGGTGAGCCTGCACACTAGTCAGTATGGTTTTCAGCATGAAGCCCACGATTCTTACCCTGAGGTTTAGTTGTAGCCATCTTACTTGTCTTTGCAACTCGCGGTGTTCTTTGCGCGAAAAGTGGAATTAATCTTCCAACTCTGCATGCCCCACACACTGTCAATGGGAAAAGACCTCGGCAAGATGATTGTGCAGATATTTCGAAGTACTTTACCGCATTCATCTGGACGTATGGACTTGCTGTAACGCCCGTATCTAAGAGATGGATGATGGTAAGTGGTTTGAGCAATGAGTGATTTCACTTACATCTTCGAGCACTGGTCACATTCTGAATTAGATGGTCAGTCTCGTTGTCTGTCTCCCAAGTTGGAATGTAGCAGCAACTTACTCCATTCGTAAGGATACGATATTTCGTAGTTATGCCTTGTCTGTGAGTATATTAGCTATGACCCCCTACTAGTACATCAGTTCTAAGCAGGCTCACAGAAATCTCAATATCTTTACGCTTTCGCATTACTTTATCGGCCCTTTGAAGTGAATGAGGTTGAGTCAAGAACAAGTTGCGCTATTTATTGAGCTCACCATGCTTTAAACAGTCTGCCGTGTCCTTCTTTTGGGTCTTTGTCAATGATCCAACACGCCAAATGGCACATCTCGTGTGACAGTGTGTTCCGGATACGTTCTAGAGGTCAACTATACATTAGTAGTCGCCTTCATAAAACAGCTCGATCGACATTTCTATACCATCGCAATCTAGTATCTTGGAAGCAAGCTCGACCTCGGTGGTATGCACACCATCCCTAGAGCTGTTACATTTGAGTCTACTCAACATACGCTCAACTTCGCACAGGCTGCAACTCACCGATGCCACTTGGCTCTACCAGCAGTCGTCAGCAATCGTTTACTCCATATCAGTTTTGTCTCCTTCGGTAAACCATCCCCGAATACCGTCTTGTTGAGTTCATGGAACAAACCCTCCGCGTATTCTTCGCGACGGGCTTGCTCTGACGCCGCCTGGACTTTCTTCGTAGGACGTCGGGCTTTAGTTGGGGAAACGCTGTCGGGCGTTGAGGTGATGCCGCGACGACGACTGGGTGTAGGATTTACGACGGAATCGCTATCATCAGAGCTGGAAAATATAGTATCGAGACTTATAAAAGGGTTGGACGTGTCTTTTGACACTTTCTTCTGACCTGGCCAAGCGATAGGCTTCCGCGAGCTTCGTGGTTCATCGCTTTTGTAAATGTGTTAGGGACAACTCTGATGTAACAAGAAATAAACTTGCAGAATCAAGATAGAACCATCATTGTTGTTAAATTGCTCTTCGTCGTCCTCGTATAAAGGGAGAAATTCGTCGACAAAGGGCTCGGCGAATTCTTTCAAGGAAGCCACGTTAGTTCTCGATCCCGCCTTCAACGGTGAGGGTGCGACAGCTTCGGGGGAACTTTCCGTCAAATCAATAATTTCGTTATTTGGGAATGAAAGCATGCTGCTGAGAGGTGTTCTGGGTATGTACGTTCCATGGTTATCTTCTTTGTGTGTTCTTCTCTTCTGGGTACTTGGAGAGATACTGCGTCTACATAGATGAGTTCGGATATCAAAAAAAGGTAAAAACGAGCGTAAGCAACTTACTGTCTGGGTGGTCGTACGTTCTCCGTTCCGCTTCAAAGTCAAAAGCATGAGAAGGGTGACATGTCGGCTTGAAAGCAGCGTGATACATACGGTTCGTCCTCATCGGAAGAGGATATCTCTATAATTTCCGTTTCAAGAGCTCCGAGTCTAAGTACGCGTATCCGAATCAGTTAATTCAGATTGCGTGTAGTTTTCATCGTTGAAACATACCTGACCCTTTCTTCTTCACTATCAGAAACGATTTCTGCCCACTCTTTCTTTTTTCCATCTGCATTATGTTCACGTTCTGGTGAAGCATTTACGCCCTCGGGGTAGGTCATTTAGATTATAAGCCTTGTCCCGTTTCAGAAAAACAGGGCCCTCAAAGACGAAGATGAAGACAAACGCGTGAATATAAACCACGATCACGTGTCCGTTGACTTCATGAAGTTCTGAGAAGCATGATTACTCAGTCCTATAAACTGATGGAGAGATGCTCATGTACTGCCCGCCTAGCTCAATCGGATAGAGCGTCAGACTTTTACGAAAGCAATTCGGGCAATCTGAAGGCTGCGAGTTCGACCCTCGCGGTGGGCTAAAGGTTCTTTTTTTTTGTTGTCCCACCATGTTTTGAGGCAGCTGTGCAAATTTAAATAATCCATAAGCAAAAAAAAAAAAAAACTTCGGAATTTTTTCCTTGCAGTTTGTGATGTTAGCCCAAGGACGCATGAAAAGAATAAGAGAAAAATATGTACTAGCCCACCGCGAGGGTCGAACTCGCAGCCTTCAGATCGCCTAGTCATAAGAGTCTGACGCTCTATCCGATTGAGCTAGGCGGGCCGATATTCGACATCAAAAATGTGACATCATGACCTGAGTGAGCCTGATGGCGATAATTAGTATGTCATTTTTAAGTACAAGTTTTGTTACAGTCGTGCTACAGAACGCAGGATATACATCCAATGGTAGTGCTAATGTTCTCACTGCTTTCTGCTTACTACACGGAACCTAGTATGGTCAACATGGCGGTACAGTGCAAAACATCACCAGTTCAGGCACTTCGAGTTGTGAGGCGCAGGATAATATATCGATGATAGGTCGCAGGTCATCAGACTGTGATAAGGATAAGTCCAAGATAAGCTAGACTGTCTCGTATGTTTTTATGTTGTTTATGTTTTGATCACCGCCCAACAGACCGTCGCTGAGGTACTTGTGCCAGACGATCACCTGCCCGCGACATTGTTGAAGCTGGTGGAGGATGACGCGGTGACGACTGGAACACTTGATCAGCACTTAAGCCCGTAGGTTTGATCACCACTTCAGAAGGCTACATGGAGGATTGCGATGTTGTTTTTTTTGTTCGGAATATACCGCGAGGTATTTGTGCCGAGTCGATCAGCTGCCTTGTCAAACTTGTGAAAGATCATTATAGGAACAACCGTCTTCCTCGATTTGGGCGGGGGTGGTGCGTGTACTGAGGCATGAGCTACTATGGAGACAACTGACTCTTGTCTCCCACCAAGCCTCTCACACACATAACGCGCGACGTCTGCCATCAGAACAACCTGTGGCGTGCTCCCCCCTGTCAGTTGCTGAGGCAAGGTTAAGTTGTGAGGAGGGGTATAAATATCAGGTTACCGGTGGGGCCGAAATCGTAAAACACTTGGCTGGAAAAGGTCGACGAATCAGACGTGGGTTAGTGAATGTTTGGAATGGAGTAACCCGTGTGCTGCGCTCGTGTCGTGTCGCAATACAGGGAATACACTAAACACCGCAGATTGCGGGATTTTATGGTTCTGCATCAGCCTTGTGGCATACTGCAAGGTGACAGGGAGCTGTCAAAGTCAAGAGTGAGCAAAGTTAAGTTGCGAATTGTCTGCTTCCGTGAAACGAGGGACAGTAAATAGTCATGCATAGCCGTGTTCTGTAGCGTATAGTCTATGCATAAGCCTTTTCTCGTTATACGGCGGACTTTCCAAGATCGGGGATGAGTTCGATTGCTCGATCGTTTGATTCCGTAATGTGAAGAAAGGAACGCCGAAAGCGAGTTGTTCAGTGCTGTAATGGTCTGGTTGATCGCAGCCGAGGCTTTCGTTATATAGCATTGTGGTGGCACTGACAGGGAACTGCCAACTCTGACCGCAAGGTTAAGTTGCGAATAGCCTGTTTCCACGTATGATGAGAGTATACTGAAAGCGCAGAAAAAACAGAAAAAAACAAAAAATATTCTCTTCCGTAAAAAGTAGCCTAGTTGATGCCACGAACATTTTCGTTATATTGCGTGGACAGAAAACTGTCAGGTACTAAGCACTGAGCAAAGTTAAGTTAAGCTAATAGAAATGCAGAAAATTCTGGCTTCGTCACTGCGTGAAGGGCGGGTCGAAAAGCGCAACGAAACGGGAAACATTTCCTGTGCTGTAGTGACCTAGTCGATGCCGCAGACCCTTTCGTAATGCTGAGTGGACAGAAACTAAGGAGTCCTGAGCAAAGTTAGGTTATGGAGACTCTTCCGGATCCATCATATGAGGATATGTCGATAGCACAATTAGTCGTTCTGTAGCGGTTTAATTAATGACTGGGTACTTGCGCGTTATACGGCGATGATAACAGATAACAGCCTGGGCTTAAGCAAAGTTAAGTTGCGTAGGATCTTCTGGTTGCACCATAGGACGAAGGGTATGCCGAAAGCGCGAATTGTTGTTCTGCAACGGTGTATTCGACGATTGGGCCCCTGCATTGTAAGGACGATAACAGATAACTGTCAAGCCTTGTGCAAAGTTAAGTTATGGAAACCGTTCGGTTCTCTCTGATACGACGAACAGCATGCCGAGAGCGCAATTGGTTGTTCTGCGGCGGTCTATTCGACGATTGGGTACTTGCGATGCAATGACAGGGTAGCTGTCAACTCTGTGCAAAGTTAAGTTATGTTAGAATCCTTTGGTTCTGTGATACGAGGGGAGGTATACCTAAAAAGCGCACATTAGTGCACCTGTGCAGTTCCATAGCGGCCTAGGTTCGTAACGTATAAGGCCCATCGCAAAGGGAACATTTTTTGCGGTTGACAGAAGAAGGAAAGCTGGGAGTACCATGTTCTTTTTTTGAAGCCATATACGGAAATGCAGCAGATGGCAGGGTCATGGGGAACTGAGATCGTCTGTTATACGAGACTTGCTATTCGCCACTGCTACAAACGCCCATATGTGATTGATCCAATCCTGAATCTTTCACTGATAGTCCCTCAAAAGCCTCATGACACGCATGACATACAGTGGGGGTCAGCCGCATCAGAAAAAAGAAAAGACTACGAACGAAAGCTCCAAACAAGGGATGGGAGAACTGAACTGAGCACGGGTGAGGTGCCAATGGGGACGAGTCGCACAAATATGGGAGTGGAGATATGTGTGACTTGCGCGGATGATGTAGTGTAGTGTTGGGCCCTTTGTTGGTTGTTTTTTCTCGCAATCTAGCTGCGTTTGGTTACGGTTCCTGTACGTACGTGAGTGAATGAGGCACTTCAAAGTGAAAATGTCCATTTTGATTTTCGGCGCTCACCGCAGCTAAAGTAGCTCAGCTGCAGGTGATCTGCGCGCTCAGATGGCTAAAAGGACGCAGCGAAAAAAGCTCAGTGCAAGGACTCCCCTTCATAGCGCTGTGTTGACCAGAACAAGATCGTGCATTGGAGGTATTGCGAGCCTCAGTCTGAGGGGATTTGTTAATGAGCTGGGTTTGTAACGAGGGCAAAGTGAGAAATAAGGAATATTTCAGAGGTGTCAAGACACGTCCAAGAGTACTGTCACGGTCTATTTTCGCCAAGTTATTAAAAAGAGAAGTCCATTTAGGGAAAGGATCTTGTATAACGTAAACACCGTAACCACGTGCTCAACTGCGTTCTGTACCAATGGCATGGAACTTTTTCACCTGCTTTTCAATCTTGATTCTTAACCCGGCTGTTTGATAGTACTTACACCGCAGGCGCCAGTACGGGGGCTTCTGACAAGATATATACCGCAAGAAGTTGATTGGGAAAGGCCCATCCCTCGCCGCCTTTTTTCGCTCTACTAAATCGCAGCTTGCTGTGTTCGAATTTCGGAGCTATGGTGGGTCCGCTCGAACAAATTGCTAGGGATGCACTGACGACGTATGCTTCATAGGTCTTTGTCAACAGCAAAAAGTTCGCTTGGTATGTCCGTTGGGTTATGTTGATCATCGTAGGCGCTGACGACAGTCGTCATCGATCGCAGCGAGTCGTGCATTAAAGGACATCGGTCATCGTCTTGTCATCACACAGAACGTCCCCTATTCGAGGTCAAGAAGAAAGGGCGCCCGGTGTCTCAGTGCGAGACTTGTCGGGAGCTGCGCCAGTCGAGACGAGTGCATTCAAAATGTACATGCAAATCCAAACAGAATGAACCCAAAAGAGTACCTCTCCAGTCATCGTCACAGCCTGACAAGAAACGTTCGTATGATGTTCTACAAAGTGACTATGGGATGGGACGCTAATACGTTTTATTGGTTGTACTAGCTAAACGGTTTATACCCATCGTTCCGTCGCTGCCCAATGGGCTGAAGGATGCACTGCAGTCATCGTCAAGCACTGTGTGCTCGGATTCGAGGCAGCGAGGTAAGCCAGGGATACAATTGGGTGATTCTAAAAGGGTCTCACGTGTGAACGAATGTGTCACTAGTTTCTTCTCTTCTAAATCCATGTCATTGTCAGGATGTGCGGAGATGTCGATGCCGATCTATGGCGCCTGGGCCGAGCACGGCTCAGCATATGGAAGAGGATGTACAGACGGGGTTAGCAACGTTAGCGCAGGCTGCTGCCATGTGCTGTGGGAGTAACGGCGACGTTGTTGGTGGACAGTTGTATTCGAAGAGCACGCAAACGAACGTGAGTAGGGTAGGACGGGAGGACTATGTAGGATGTGGGAGGTGGCAGGATGGAGACGATTATGGAAGGTATTCGCGGAGGGACACATCGAGGTTTAATCTTCCGCCGATCAGTGTGGAAATGATGAGTGGAAGTGAGTATTCGAGTGGGATGCCCGAGTTTTCGGTGATTCCGCCCATCAGCGCGATAACGTCTATAGCGGGCTCTGGATGCACGTGTGGGCTTTTCTGTGCGTGTCCTGGGTGTGTTGAGCATCGGGGAGTTGAGCACGTGTCGAGGGAGCGTGAAGACTGCCCGGATAGATGTGGATCGTGTGTGGACTACTCTGGAGGGATTGAGTTGCCGGGGCAGGGAAGCAGCGGGGGGAGTCGTCTGATGGACGAGTTCTTTGCGCGTGCTGCATCGCTGCCTCGCCCGCCGAGGAATAGGAAGGTGGGGATGGAACTGGACGGGATGAATATGATGGTGTATCCGAACGAGGTGTTCAGGCGGGAAGGAGGGACGGCATTTGGGCTTGTGCAGGTGCCGAAGCTGGAACGTTGCGGAGGGGTGTGTGGCTGTGGGAAAGCATGCGAGGGGTGTTGCAGTGGCCAGACGTCTGGACTGTAGGAAGTGGTGGCTTGTATAAGTACATGTGATGTGTAATGAAATTGGAAAGATGTCCAACGTGTGGTTGCGGTGATGTCATAGGGGTCTGGAATGGTCTGGGCTGTGACGTCACGGTGCTGTGACAGTCATTGGCAGCGTCTGTGATCAGCTCGATTAACAATTTCACTCGACGCTGCCACTCCCAGCCATGGCAGACGACTTCTTCTCTGCTGTTCCCTTCAACGGCGCTGCCTCCGACGTCGAGCCCATCGACTCCTTTGCACAAGCAATCGCAAACAGATTCGGCTCAGGTGATCTCCTCACTGCTCGCCTCGTCAACGACCCACACCGCTCCCCACCCAACACGACGACGACGACGACGACGACTGCCACTCCCGCCCTTCCCCTCCATCTCCCCAACGCCCCCCTCGCAAATCTCTCCATCGCACCCCACCCCTCCTCTCTACCATCATCACCCTCCTTTGCCTCTATCTCCCCTGCCAATCTCACAAACTACATCTCTGACTCGTCAAACCTCATCGTCGACATCCGTCCCCATGCCGCCCATTCTTCAGCTCGCGTCTTCCGCGCCGTCTCCCTCTCCGTTCCTTCCACCCTCCTCAAGCGTCCCCTCTTCTCACTAGAGAAACTCTGCGCCATGTTGCCCTCCCGCTCATCCCGCTCTCGTTTCTCACACTGGCAATCAGCCGCCCGTATCATCGTTTACGACGCTGACTCTTCCAACATCCCTGACAATTCAAACGTCTGCGGTCTCCTCAAGAAATTCAAGAACGAGGGCTTCGCAGGCGACCTCGCCTGGATCCGTGGCGGCTTCCAGGCTGTGTGGCAAGAGCGCAGAGACCTTATCACCACTGATCCACCCTCTCCAGAAGAAGACGACGACGATTCTTCAAAGTCGTCCATTGCCCCAGCTCTCCGCACAAAGCATCTTCCAAAATCTGCCTTTTCCCTCTCCACAACCACTTCCTCATCCGCAAAGTCTTCTGCCCCTCGTCCGTCACACCGGCCCGCTGCAAACCCCTTCTTTGACACCATCCGTCAGAACGTGGAGCTCTCTCAGGGTATCACAGAGCGTATACCTCTCAGGCTCTCCCGCAGAGTCAGGAAACGCATCCATGACCTCCCTTTCCCTTGGCTCCAACAAATCGCCCGCAGAGCAGCTGCTCGCCCATCGCAGTTCGAGTCAGGCTCAGAATCATCCGATGATCTGGCAGATAACGATGCTGATCAGGCGGACGTGGAAGAGGGCGCAGAAACGTTGGCGATGCAGTTTTACAGAATAGAACTTGCAGAGCAGCGCCGTTTGCTTACAGTTATGGAGCATCATTCTCGCGAGAGTGGCGTATCTTCGCAGCAGCAAGACGCTGGCTTCTTGCCGCCTTCAGCTACATTTCCATTTAGCATTACCGCCGGTGTAGAGAAGGGCACAAAAAACAGGTGGGTAGTCCTTTTCACCAAAAAAAAAAAAAAAAAAAAAAACGAAAGTCAGTGCTTGATTAGACAAACGCTGACACTGTTATCATTTTCTATACAGGTATACGCACATCTGGCCTTTCGAACATGCACGAGTAAGGCTACACAGCCGTAAATTCAGACGAAACATAGACGAAGACGACTACGTGAATGCGTCTTATGTCCAACCGCTCGGTACATGCAAGCGGTACATTGCAACTCAAGGCCCCCTTCCTGCAACATTTGTGGACTTTTGGACGTGAGTCTGGATTTCTCTGGTTTGGGAAAATCCACATTGACGTCACTTCTCCCCTTAGTCTCTGTTGGGAGCAGAACGTGCACGTTATCGTCATGCTGACGCGTGAAGTGGAGAATGCTATGGTCAAATGTGGTACGTACTGGACCGACACCGCCTACGGACCGCTCCGTCTGCGACTCGTGTCTTCGTCGCCGGCCCAGAGTCCGGCGGCAGATGCGACAGAAGTGACAGACACTAACCGAGGATTCTTCTTTGCGCTGCGTGAGCCCACACCTCTGCACTCTGCATTCCCCGCCTCTGGTACGGGTGGATCAGCGAGCAAACCCAAGGGTCATACAACAATCAAGCGGGTGTTTGAGTTGACGCATACAGCCTATCCTGATGTGCTACCTAGGCGCGTAACCCACTTGCAGTATTTGGAGTGGCCGGATATGAATGTGCCTGAAGATCCTCGTGGCGTACTTGCGCTCATGAAGGAAGTGGCAGTCGCCGTCGAGGCGAGTTCTCCTGGGCCTAGTCCGGGCAGCTCTCCTGGGGGGCTGGCAAATATCGGTGAAGAGACTGCTGTAGGATTGGATTCCAAATCTGGAATCGCAAAGTTTGCTCTTGGAAAGAAGAGTCCCGTCTTGCTGCACTGCTCTGCTGGGGTAGGCAGGACGGGAGGGTTTATCGCCGTGGATGCGGTACTGGATGCGATTAGGGGTGAGGTGAAGAAGATGAGAGCAGGAAAGCTCTCGAGCGAAGCTGCGAGGCGAAGTGAAGAAAATATGGACGTGGATGAGCCGGAAGATGCTTCGACAGTACCAAGCGAACAATGCCTCACAGAAGCTCGCTCACAGATACTTGGCACTGTGCCTTTGCAAGTCTCGGCTGGTGATGGAAAGAAACGACGCACAAGGGCATCTGGCAAGGATGTGGAAGGAAAAGGGTTAGTTGTTCACGTACCTTTTGCTGGATGGGGAGATTCGGCGAAGACTCCTCATGGGGATGCTGCAAAAGATGGAGACGAGATGAACGTGGACGAAAGTCCTGACCAGGTGGACTTGGATGCAAGTGGAGCAGGAGCTGGTTGGGGCTCGAACCCTTCTACGAGAGAATGGGCAGAGCGTGTGTCAGATCAGACAGGCCTTGGTGGTCCTTTTGAGACGCATGGATCAGGATCTGCGTCAGGATCATCATCAGATTTGTCATTGCCGCTTGGACAAGGATCCGCCAAGCCTGTACCAGCAACTATAAGGTCAAGACGTATGTCACCGCCTCATGCCAGTTACCAAACGGTATCGCGATTAGGATCGCTTTCGTTATCTCCTCCCCGTCGTACACATTCCCCACCACACTACCCGCTTTCTCTCTCTCAGCTCCCGATTTTGCCTCGTGTTGAAAAAACCGGGTCGCCGTCTTCAAGCAGTAATCCGTCTGCGCTGAACTCGGCCGATGATTCCGTTGGAAGTGGGTCTGGAGGGGGTAGTGCGTCGGGGTCAGGTTCAGGAGTGGTTTCTGCGTCTGGATCTGGATCTGGGCTAGGGAGCGCAGCTGGATCAGGTTCTGGGCTGGGAAGTGGTAGCAGAGCGGGTTCTGGGCTTGGTAGTGGTTCAGGAAAAGCGTCAGCATCAGGCAGGAGCGCGTCGAGCATAGGAATTCCCCCTAGCTCTATATCAGCCTCAAATTCTGGTTCTGGTGGTGGTTCAATATCAGCGTCGATCTCGGGCTCTGGGTCTACGTCGGGCTCTGGATTCAATTCAGGAACGGGATCAGGATCGATGTCTGGCTCAGGGGTGACGGGTCTGTTGAGGGCCCGCATGCGTGATTCGTCCGCCACGTCTCTTTCGAATATATCGGGGAGCTCGGGCGAGGCTCGGGTGCACACCAAGGTTCCAGCTCAGGTGCCTGTCGTGCTGCGTGAACCATCCGCTATACGCATCAGCCATGACGCACCTTCTGGATTGAGCATGAAGGGATATTTTAGTGAGAATGTAGGAATGGATGTAGATGGAGACAAATCACCGAGGAGCTTTTCCGCCCCTTTGGGTGATTCGAACGAGGGGCAGAGTGGCGATATAGGCCTGCTTGCCCAGACGACTCACTCAGTACACTATCCCCATCGCATTGGCGCTTCGCCGGTGGCGAGTCTTTCTACGCCCATGCTTGCTGCGCCTGTCGTCCCCGGTGGAGTCACGTTCTTTTTGAACCGGGAAAAAGCAGAAATGTCGGCACCAATGTCGCGAAGTGCTTCCAAATCCAGTTCTGATTCCAATCTTTCGTCGCACCCGGTTTCGACACCGTTTTCGAATGTGCAGACGGGATCTGATAAGGTGTCGAGCTTGGCGAGTCCACCACCTCCGTCGTCTGCGCCATTGTCGCAGCGGTCGTCTGTGCCACCCTCACGTGGATCTCCGTTGGTTGTGGCACCAAGTGGTTTGGAGAGTGAGAGTGTTGTCGATAGCGGAGAACCAAACCCAGAGAGTAGTGGGCAAGTGTCTGCTCAGACAGCGAGCAGCAGTTCATCCGGTGATGCAGACAAGAGCGGAAACGGAAATAACAGTGGAAGCGGTAGTGGCAAAGCAGAAGTTAGCAATAACACAAGCAGCAGCACCGTGAAGCTCCCTGGAGAGGACAGCACCGGAACGAGCTTATCCGATCCGTCAAAATTGTCGATGAAGTTGAAAAATGAGGTTATTAAGGAGCAAACGGAGCCATCGATCGACGCGACACCTCAAAAAGAAGAGGCGCCCACAAATGAACCATCACCTCCAGAAGGCGACAGACGTGCTGCAGGACATTCTGTTATAGATTATAAGCTCCCACGCGCTCTACATAGCGATCTTTCGCCCCCCCTTTTATCGTCGTTTGATGATCCTATTTGGACGGTCGTGCTGGATATGCGTGAACAGCGTATGAGTTTGTGTCAAAGTCTTCGGCAGTATGTATTTGTGCATGCAGCTGTCATCGAAGGGGCTTTGATGGTCATGGACGAAGAGAGGGGATTGTGGGGCAGCGGAAGTGAGGGTAGTCCTGGGGCGAGCGTGGGAGGGAGTGAAGGACGAAGGTCAGATGTAGAAGACATACCGGGCAGAGGCGCATATTTCCCTGCTGAAAGCAGCATGGAAATTAGTGCTGTCGGCAAATCAGATTCTTATCAAGGTCGAACACACTCGGTATCTGGCGTTTTTTCTGGCGGCATGGTCAGTGGTGCGAGTAGTGTTAGTGGTGGTGGTGGTGGTAAAAAAGGACCTCCAGCATCAGCTTCGTCCTCGTCAGGGCTGTCCTCGTCGCCGTCGAAGGGGAAACGCGTCGCAAGTCCCACCGAGCTGCTAAAAGAAGATAAAGCTGGTGAAGTTTCGCTCGCGAAACGTCCCAGTATTAAACGAAAACCCGGCAGCAGTGATGGCAAACTACTCACGTTTGACACCGGCGCAGAGTTGGCGACAGGTATTCTGAGTGGAGCTAGTGGGGTGTCTAGAGCAACGCCAGGAAGTGGTGGATCGGTTGTTAAGAGCACGACAATGACCGGTGGACCAATGGCACCAGAGAGGGACAGTGGACCATCTGGCACTGCGAGGTAGCGATCGCGTCGATTTCACCCGCCGCGAGGCTCGTCCCGTGCTTTTATGCAAGATCGCGGGCAGTCCTCGCTTTTTGCGATCTATGACCTCATTTAATCTTCTCCTTCTGTTTCGAAACATGCCTCCCTTTCTCTCCACTCTCGCGCCCCGTATTTGGTTGTCCTCGTTTCCTCCTAAATCTCAATTAGACAATCATGCTCCACTCGTTTACCACGGCATCGCCTCTACAGACCCGCGAGTTTAGCGACCGTTCAATTGGTAGCGCCTGCGGAACTGGGTCCTCAATTGTTAATCGCTTTCCACGGACTTTGAATTGTGCTGTGATCTGTATGTGATATAAATTTTAAATGCTGGCTTCCAGCGTCAATTACTTACGCTATCCCCCAATTTCTTGGAGAGGCCCATCTGTGTTATGTTCCTTGCTCGCGCCATTTGTTGATTTTCTTCCCATGCGTCTGGTCTTGCCTCTTTCGAAGGCCTGTATTCATTCAGCAACTTTTTCTCGCTTCCGACTTACATGCATTACCATCATCTATTTGTTCGGTTTTTCATAGCGTCTTTGTATTTATTCCCTCACGCGGAACACATCATGCACTTAACCACCCAAAAGACCGAATTGAGTGTAGCTACATACAACACCACCTCGATATTCAACACGTCTTCTTGCAGTACATATCGCTTGTTTGTTCTCGTGCCCACTCGCTTCGCCGGAACCAGTGTCTGTCAGCCCCAATTCGAATATGGGGTGGCAAACACAGGAGCATTTATGTAAATTAGCTCCACACTTTGATTTTCCGTTCTACCACACTTGCTATGTTTATTCAAGGATGACGTCGTCATCAGATAGTACCTCTGGGAAAGGAATGTTGTGTAATGAGAAGAGAAGGTAGGTACAGGACTAATCACTCAGTACCACAATGCTCAGGCCTCAGGCCTCGGACTTGCATGCGGAAAACTTCATCCTGCTGGTTAGCGCGCTCAAGTGTAAACTCGTATTTCAGCTCATTTGAACAACTTTGCCTTAACATACAAAAAAAACAAGATAGTAGTAAGGGCAATGTACCACTTGGCAGAGTGTGGGTGTGGGCCAGCCTTATCGCGCGAGCTCCACCCCAACATTAGAACAATTCTCGTCACGGTTGACCTGCGCCATCGAGGAATCACGAGTGCCTGGCTCAGAGCTCGATCCCCCTCTCAAGAACCACATCTCGGGTACCAGAAATAAGAACTAACCGGCAAAAATAGCGGGTTTTAAGAAAGGAAAATCTGATAAGCCAAGTTTGTAGGATGCGGGCGTTCCACGGCGATGGACTACTACAATGTGTTCCTCTAGACACGAGACATACGTCTTGATGCCCCGAGGTACGACACTTTTTACGACTGCTGGGATGAAGCAGCACTACCGCCAGTTCCAGTATCCAACGTTGATGTCCTGGTATCAGTGAAATAAAATATAACAAAACGGCTTGGATAACAGAAATATGTGCACATAACCCCAAAAGGGAGTAAAAGGTACTGGGTATTTACGTTTTAATCATAATCACCAGCAAATCAGAGAGGGAACGATAGAATATTATAGACACACGCTTGTAGTACATAATCATAGCAGTATGTGGTAGTAGGATTGCTTGTAGGCCCTTGTAAGACGTAAGGAAGCCTGGTAGTCAGCATCATTAATAAAAAGTAGTCGAAGGCATTCTATGAACGATGGTTACGGAGCATAAGATGATATTCTTCACCTTTGTAGGAGTACACGTTTTGGGGAGGTCATGAAAACGTGTATCATCGTAGTCCCACAATAATTCTCACCTCGATTACTTTTGCCTTAGTTTGCTAAGCCCATTCTTGATTTGAGATGGTGCGGCTTTAGTGGCGAATTTCCTGTAGGTCGACCTCTGATTTCCGCCATTCCTTGGCAGGTTTATCTGCCTTCTTCTAGAACACTACAGGATGACGAATGTTGTGGTCCTTTCAAGTTGGTATACCCTTTCCTGTGGAAGGACAAATCGATTGTATCAGACGTGCATAGTAGTATAGTAAGCCAATACCTTCGCCGCCATCCCTCGAGGTTTTCCGGTGGACAGCATCAAAATTGCGCCAAGGTGGGAATAGAGAGCTCTGACACTGTAGGCCTTCAACGCGAGGAAACATCCGTTTGTAAAATATAAAACACGATGAGAAGGTAGTTTCGAGTATATCCTGGTGTCATCGGCGGTAATCACGATCAAATATCGCATCGGCCAGTTTCTCCTACTCCTTCCACCAATGCCGACAAAAAAAAATACAGATTTTTTTGACCGCGCAGCATAAACTTTGAAGGTGAGTCGTCAATGAATCGGATGGGATGATTTTGAGCTGGTGTGAAGCACGAAAACGAAGGTGAGTTAGTACTGCCTATATGAAAAAAGAAATTATCTAGCTGTGTTGAATGGTCAGGACAAAGGTCGGAAATAAAGCGCTCGTGACGCTAGGATCGTATTGAAATAAACACTGAAAAAAAAAACAAGTGAGTGATAAGTAAAACTACTAAAAACATAAAGGCGAATAAAACAACTAGCCCACCGCGAGGGTCGAACTCGCAGCCTTCAGATCGCCTAGTCATAAGAGTCTGACGCTCTATCCGATTGAGCTAGGCGGGCAATGAATAGCACGTGCCCATCGGCGGTAACGGCGAGAAATCCAGGAAAAGGTTGGGACAGGGGTTAAAGACCTTTTTTACATAACAATCCATGAGCTTGGCGTCCCCAGAAATTCAGATGAACAAGGTCGCCGTCCAATTACATCCACAAGTCTTTCTTGCAATTGTTCTACAAAAACAGTACCATTTTCTTCATTTAATTTTCCAACCCACGCTCCTTTCGATACCATGCGCACATCCGTGCTTGCAGTAGTTGGTGCCTTGGTAGCCAGCGTACAGGCAATTCAGAAAGTCACTCGGTCAGGACGATATTTGTACACTCAGGACGGAAATAGATTTTATATCAAGGGTGTTGCCTACCAAGAACAAGGTATGGTTTTGACTCGTACAGCAAGAGCAAGACGTCAATCTGATGTTGATTGACAGGCGCGGTAGTCGCTGACCCGAACAACCCATTTCTCGAGCCTTCAAACTATATCGACCCTTTGGCAAATGGAACGGTCTGCCAGCGTGATTTACCTTACTTGCAACAGCTTGGTGTCAATGCTGTCCGTGCGTATAGCGTGAATGCGTCCTTGAACCACGATACTTGCATGAAAATGTTAAGTAATGCGGGCATATATACTATGTGAGCAAATGTTTGATATGTATTGCTTCGTGGATTGACTGATTATCTTATATGTACTCGTCAGTATCGACCTTTCTCTACCCGTGAATGGTTCTCTTGACCGGAACTCTCCGTCGTGGACGACGAACCTACTGGATTTATACATTGAGACCATTGACTCATTTTCGGGTTATGACAACGTTTTAGCTTATAATGTCGGAAATGAAGTGGTCATCGCTGCAAACGGAACTGGCGCGGCCGCGTATGTGAAGGCTGCTGCCCGCGATGTCAAAGCCTACCTGTAAGTTTTCAGTCTCCACTAGGACACCTGAAATGATCATTGTGAATGCCTTTTTATTTTAGCAATTCTAAAAAGTCATCTTCTCTTGTTGGATACGCGTCTATCGATGGAGACGCTACGTGGCTCGACCCTCTCGCGAACTATCTTTCTTGTGATCCCTCTGGTTCCAACTCGGGGTCTGCTGCTATTGATCTATACGGGCTTAACAATTAGTAAGCTTTTGTACAAGGATTAATTCAGTCAAATCTGATAACGGACTCAGCCAATGGTGTGGAAATTCGACGTTTCAATCATCGTATGCAGGCACCGAAGGCCAGTTCGCAGGCTATAATGTCCCCGCTTATTTCAGTGAATTTGGCTGCATTACATCGCCACCTCGCCTTTGGACGGAGGTAGGCGCACTCTACAGCTCCCAAATGTCGGACGTTTGGTCTGGAGGCGTGGCTTTTTCTTATTTCCCTGCTCAAAGTGCGCAAGGACAGTTTGGCATGGTGACTATCTCTGCAGATGGGAGTACAGTGTTTGTCAACAACGACTTCACAAGTTTAAAGACCCAGTACGGTTCGGTCACACCACCGAACATACCTACTCAGAGTAGCGCTGGTTCTACGGCCTACCCCTCCTGCCCTCAGCCGAATTCTTCATTTGTTGCTTCCAACCACTTGCCTCCCACCCCGAACTTGGCGGCTTGTCAGTGTTTACAAGATCATCTTAGCTGCCAATTTACGCCGCAGACACAGAATTACTCGGGTATTGTTGGACCTCTACTTGACTATGCTTGCAGTTTGGTGGGGCAAGCAGGCGGAAATTGCCTTGCTTTAGCTGGTAATGGCACTACGGGGTCATACGGTCCAATTTCAGGTTGTGATCCATGTAGGTCATAGTTATAGGATGCTGTTCTGAGGGGCTCGAAGCTAACATCGCTTTTCCTCACATCGCTTTTCCTCTAGCCGTCATGCTGTCATACGTTATGAGTGAGTACTACCTGGGCACGAACCTGAATCCCCAATCATGCAGCTTTGCGGGTAACGGGACTATTAACCACAATGCGCCATCGAGTGCAAGCGCTGCAAATGCGGCTGCATCCTCGTGCCTTTCCAGTGCTACGGGTACTTTCACACCACAAGCTCCAAGTAGTGGTGGTTCTTCTGGAGGGTCTTCTAAGGGCTCAGGGTCCTCAAACGGTGCTTCCGTCGCCTCGAGTGATGCGAAGGCGGTATATTATGTAGGCGTAATGCTTGCTGTCGGGTTTGCGAGCGGGATGTGGACTCTTACTTGAATGGCAGACGCTTTTGTGGTTTTGGAGAATCGGACCATCGTATTTATTATTCCAGATTGGACATGGGCTCAAAGTTCACACTGACTTTCGTTTTGTACGACATTCTTCGGATTTTACTATGACTTAGTTACATTATCTACCATTGGTTTGATGAGTAAATACATTACAGTTCGGCGGTCAATCTACCACTAGTACACGCTTTTTCCTTTTCCTTCAATTGAGTTGTCATTCAAAGAGTCATTTCGGGAGTAAACGCACAGGCCACGGCCGTGGTCGGAGTTTAATTTTGTATTTTTTAGCTGGATATGCCCCTGAGCAGTTGCTTTTAAACTAGGACGTGTCATTCTTGCAGACTTTTTCGTTTCTTGCATCTTTCAAGTCATGGCTGCCTCTCCAAATGCAGCAGATAGAGGACAACCGCAGACAAATGACGGCTGGGGCTCTGCAGACGGCGAGCAAGGCTTTGATTCTATGATGGGTCCCGCAGGCAGCACCGAGCCGTCCAACGGAGCGCCATTGTCTCCAGATGGCCCCGAAGCTAGTCAGACTCCCGAAATTCAAGAGTATCATCGCGGCTCTAGTGTGGGCGACAATAGCAATAGCAATTCTTGTGGTAAAAACGATTCTGGTCATCGCGAAAAGCAAGCCAAGGTGCTTAGGTTCTCTCCTCTTATTCAATTCTGTTGTCTTGCCTCCCTATCTCTCTCCCGCCTCCGGAGCGTGCTGTGTGCGAAATTCTGCTATGGCTTGTGGCACTGGGTATCGTTCTCAGTGGTGCATTAAGCTATGTGCTGTCCGTCCGTCGTCGGTCTGTCTCTGGCAAATATGCACATCTGCATGGTCCTTTATGCTTGCTACGTGCTGGAAGGCTGGTCGGAAATCCTACTTTTTATGAAAATCTCTATCGTTTTGTCTGGACTGGTGTTTACATTACCCTGTGCAGCCGAACAAAGTCTATGTGGGTGGTCTACCAGAACATACACGACAAGAAGACCTGCGAAGTTGCTTTGGAAAAATTGGGAGCATCGTTAACGTTGAACTCAAGTACGCCACTCCTTTCAACATCATTATTTTGAGTCTCAATTTGCTGGCTTTTTGAAATCTAGAGTTGGTTACGGCTTTGTCGTAAGTTTGTTTACCTGTTTTCACAAGTGCCAGGCCTTTTGACACTCGCTTTCATGCAGGAGTTTGATACAAAAGATGCCGCCGAAGAAAGTGTAGCCAAATACAACGAAGGTCATTTCATGGGAAATAAAATTCGCGTGGAAATTTCTCATGGGGGTGGGCGGACTTCAAAGCACTCTGGTGATCCTGGGGCGTGTTTCAAATGTGGGCAGACAGGTCATTGGGCTAGGTAGGTAGTACTATCATGAACCTTATAAAAGCTTAAACATCGATTTGAGTAGAGAGTGCCCTAACCATACTGTTGCGCCGTGAGTTCCTTCGTTTCTTTAGTTATTCGTCCATGAGCTGAGTTGCGACTGGTCTATCAAAAGGCAACGCCGGCCAGCTCATCCCAATGATGCGTCTTTGATTGATCGCATGCATCCTCCTCGAGATTATTTACCTCCACCCAGAGACTATCCCCCTTTCCGAGACGATCCTAGTCCTGGTCGCTTTCCATCATCTAGGGACGTACGGTATGGCTATGACTACCCTCCAATTCCACCTCCTGGTCGCGACTATCGAAGACCACCATCGCCTCCTAGGGCTTTGAGAGAATATCCTGTGTGTCCACCCCTGGTGCGGTCCGCCCATGAATACGACGACTACAGAATGAGAGGTCCTCCACCTCCGCTCGCCCGTTATGACCGTCCTAGCTATTATCCTTCTGAAAGAGATTTGGGATACCCTACACGTGGTGTTATGCCTCCTCCGCCTCGAGACTACTATGATCGTTATGATAGGAGGCCTCCTGTTCCGGATGACAAGTATTCATCGTATCCGCCGCCGGGATCAAAACCCAGAACGCCACCTGGTGGTCCTCCACCCATTCGTGGTCGAGATGACTACGGCGGACCTCATCGGTACGTCTCGCTGAATCGTGAGCATTATGTACCTTTTAACACATAAAATAGCGATCATGTCCCTGAGGGCCGCGGAAGACACAGTCCGCCTCTACGTTATGCTGATTATGCCCCTCGTAGCATTGGTGCGGATATTCCTCATCGGTAAATACATTTCATAAACAGTTTCAGCTTGAACTCATAAATGGTGTGTCCAGTCGGCGCTCTCGAAGTCCGCCTCGGTCAGTGGGTCCGGCTCACTACGATGATTATTCAGGATCTTTCCCTGAAAATGGCTATTCTGGTCCTCCTTCCATTGGCCCCTCACTCAGAGGTACAGGTGGTCCTAGAGATTATTCTAGTCGAAATGGCCGTGATCTTGTCGATCTGAGCGGTGGTTACAACAGAAGACTTTGATCAGACTCGTACTTATTTAGTGACCAAATAGTCGGTCGGCTAAAAGTTATGCTCTATATGTGCTTGCATCGTACCACTATCTTATTTCCTCAAGAATTGTATCAGCGTTTTAGTCGTTGTTGTCCCTTACCTTATTTTTTCCTTACATCCTTTGTACTATCGTACTTCTTGCTACTGCTTGGCTTTCGAATATAAATTTGCTTACTGGTGAATTTATTCAAGACTACAGTGTAGGACTGGCATTTGAGCTGGTTAAAATACTTGCGCATTCCAGGCCCCATTCCCTTGCAATACTCATCCATTTAGCTACATTTCCTATCTGAGATACCTGTATAGATTATATGTATGAATAAATTATAAATATCATTTGGAAACTGCATGCACAATTCAAGAATCTAGGTTGACACGATGAAATCAGGTTTCCTGGCATTTAAGCCAGCACCAAATATAGCAAATTGAGTATCCCACCACTCCGGGGCTCCTTCCTATTAAGGTATATCTCACTCAGATTAGCACTCTTGGTCGACCAAAAGGCTTTTCATCACATTGTGCATGTGTATGTGATACTATAGCACTACTGTATATAGTTTCTGGGGCACGATGCTAAATTACATCCACTGTAAACATTATTTACTCTTGAAGTTGAGCTTTATCCTCGTCTATCGCACAAGAAATCACACATTCCTTTGATTTTTACATTACAATAGCAATACACGTGTATTCTTAACATGCTCGGGCTACGTGTCCGTTGATCACACAAAAAACGCATGTGCTATGGCTGATTGGCTCAAATGCCGGTCCTACACTGTAATTGTACCTGTCTTCTATTTCATTGACATGGCATAGAGTGCTTCCTTGTCAGCACTCTCGTCCACGAGGGCACGGAATAAGCCGTTCTCGTTTGCTAGCAATTCTTGAGGAGGTCCATATTCAGCCTACAATTGCAAGAGGTTAGCGGGTTGGTATAACAATTCGAATCTCGACCTTACGAGTTTCCCATCCTCCAGAACCATCTAGGGAATAGGGAACTGTCAGTTTTATCTGAAAGGCACAAGTACAAAGTACAGACACGCACAATTTTGTCAGCATCAATGATGGTCTGAAGGCGATGAGCAACGATGATCTGTGTAACATCATTCTGCAGCTTATTTCGGAGAGAAGACTGGATTATGGTGTCCGTTCTATAATCTGAAAATAACAGGAAATTGAATATTAGACATGTCTATTATGGTGCATCTCGAGGTGTACCTATGGCTGAAGTGGCTGTGATAAGATGCCAGTAAGCCCGTGAGAGGCCGCATACAGTATTCTAGACATACCTTCGTCAAGAATCAACAACTTACTTCCACGAATCATAGCTCTTGCCAAGGCCAAAATCTGACGTTGTCCCACAGACAAATTGCTGCCTCCACCAGAGATAACACTATCAAGCGATAACTTGCTCTCCTCCGAATCTTCCTGTATGGAGAACAAGCCAGAAGCTCTGAGTGCATCATTCAGGGTGGCATCATCGTATTGCTCAAATGGATCGAGATTTTTTCGAAGTGTGCCACTGAGCAACTCGGGCTGTAATATTGATAAGTTACTCAAAAAAGTAAGTATAGAAATGGAACAACTGACAACTTGTGGAATGATAGTTGCATTTGTTCGAAGAGCATCCAAATTGATTGTGCTTATAGAGATACCATCATAAAATACTTCTCCCTCAATATGTATACCACGAAGGAGTGAGAGAGTTAGCGAGCTCTGCCGAAGGATTTAGCAACCAATGATACACAGAATGTGAATGCATAAACCTTTCCACTTCCAGTGCGACCGACTAGCATTTCATCATTAATAACTGTTAATACGCTAAGGCTGTAGCATAACATTGACGTACCTACACCAATCCGTTCACCGGACTTGATGTGAAAAGACAGGTTATGAAGGACTCTAGGCCCATCCTTCGAATTATTAGGTTTGTAAGAGTAGTGAGTCATAACAGAGAAATACCTGCGAGTAACGAGCAGAAAGGTTCTCCACTCGGAGGTCGCCACTAGCTGGCCAATACGCAGGGGGACGGCCTTGACTACTGGGTTTTGGCTCCTGTTCTATCCCGATGTAACTATCAATGCGCTCAAGGCTAGCCGCGGTGTAGTATAGTCAGATATGCAACATTTACTAAGGTTCCTACTTCACGAACCTATTTGCTATATTTTCCATGAGGTTGTAACTTGGATATAAAAGAATATATATACATAGACGACATACCATTCACTTCGATATCATTCATCATCCTAACCCACCACAGCATCATGGTACTGAAACCAACTATCCAATTTCATTGAGATTATATTGCGGGTGATGAATAAACCACGAACCAGCCATATTTAATGAGAAGCCGATATCAGACGCACTAGCGAGACTATTACCATAAGTCAAATATGCGGCTAAACTGGCCGAAAACATTGCACTGAAGGCATCAATGCGAATGCCCACCCAACTGCATAAGATAGGTTAGCAGTACTATCATACCATGTCGACGGTGTAACCTTACCGGTTCAAATTATAAAACATGCGTGCTACTTTAGTGTAGCGGTCAATTCGTGCGAGTGACTCCGCTTTAAAAGCTTGCTGTGCACCATATGCGCGTATAGAAGCTTGCATGGTTCTGAGGATACCGAATAGGCGGGTAAGGGATATTGGTACTTACTAAGACCAGCAATGGCTGCGCCAAAATGACCAAGGACGGGAGCTTTAGCATTGCTCATCTCTCTTTTGACAGATAACTGAGCTTTCATATAGAACTTCCCACAAATCCAGCCGAGTGCACCAACGAGGATTCCAGGGATTATGAATATTGGCGTCAGAACGGTAACAGCAGTGAATTTGACCATCATTGCTATAGTCACCTCCGTCCACAAAGATACACTTTGGGCAACAGGCCCATCGACTGCAACAATCTCTTAATCCACACGCTCGCGTAGTTGGCAACGAAACAAAACGTACCAGCTTGTATGTCTTGTGTACATCGTGCAATTACGCGAGATGTCGGAGTAGTATCAAGCCACCTATATCCTGTAAGCTTGTTTTGAAGTTTCAGTAAAACGATGAAGAGAGCTCACCGCAAGGTTGTGCCCAGTACCGCCTCGAAGAGCTTCTTGTGGATGACTCTAGACGCTCGCATTGTTCCGTATAATTGCCAGGTGTAAGAAAAAGCGTATAAGGTGGTAGTGGCCAAAAGAATAAGACCATAAACTCCGAGGTAGCTGAAGTCAATAATGATTATCAAACAATAAGTAAGAAATATTAGACAAGCCACTCACTACGGGACATGAACTTCGGATGGTTGATGAGAATCGTACTGGGAAGCCCAGTACCCTAAAAACCAGGGTTGCGCATTTTCACTAAACTGAGTTGAAGTCATGGTGACTAAAAAAACAATCCAAAAGAGCGCTGGGTAATCGCCTCCCATTCCTGCGAGGTATAGTTTGACTACAGGGGTCAAATTTCCGATCCCATAAGCACAATTGTCGACTCACAAGCAGACCGTCCAACGCGACCTTCAGCGATTTCTTCAGCTAATATAAGCTTTCCGTCCTGTTTTCGCTGGACTGCTTCTTCTTCAGTGTCGGAAACCTTTTGTTCCTCCTCATTATCTTTCAAGACCTCTGCAGCGAGCTTATCGTCGTGAGCGACCACGTCGGATATGGAACCTTGACTAAGCACCCTCCCATTCGAACCTATCGATACTACGAAATGGGCCACTTTGTTGGCCATGGTAACATTGTGCGTCTAAATTTGACAATTTTACCCTTACGGAAGCACAGATAGAAATTATCTGACATACCACAAAAATAACTGTTCGACCCTCAATCAGGTCTCCACCCAAACATTTGTCAATGATCCACTTTGAAGTATGCACATCTAAAGCGGCCAACACCTGGGATAAGGTGGATAATCATCATCTATCATGGCATACTACAGACCTATTAGATAGACTCACATCGTCTAATAAGAGAACCTCTGCAAATGAGTATATTGCACGAGCAAGAGTTATCCTTGCCTGTTCATGATATTAGTGAACTAAAAGAGGACGGCAAATCAATGATACCTTCTGACCGCCACTGTGTAGTATGGTATATTTCAATATATATAAATTGTCAGGACTGCGCTTTGCATTTACCTTAACGTGATCCCTTTCTCTCCAACTTCGGTCTGATCTCCAGCTTCAAACAATTCGAAGTCACGTTCGAGCCCACATTGGTACACAACTGGTCAACCAATATGAGAATCCAAAGTATAGAGCGACAGATGAATGCCTTACCTTTGTTATAGCGTTCCTTGTCGTATGACGCTCCAAATAAAATGTTAGCCTGTGGTCGTATTTAGCTGAGTATTCCTAACGACCAACAACGCCTCATTTATACCTGAATTGTCTCGTTCTGGACCCAAGATTCTTGAGCCGCATAGGCAACACCACCCTTGCGAGGTAGACCGAAAAAAGATGCAGGGCCAGATGGAATAAAGTGCATTTCCCCTGGGTAAGTGTAAGTATGAATGCGACGCAGATATGAGAACACAGCAGCACTGTGTGAGCTAACCTAATAAAGCCATAAGCATCGATGTCTTTCCTGAACCTGTGGGCCCGACAATTAAGTTGACGCGCCCACGGTGGAAGAAAAGCTCGTCTTCAATTTTAAGGCTGAAATTTCGTTTCGATGGAGTCAATGAACCATTACGGTTCTCTGACCACGTAAACACAGCATCTTTGAAACCAATCACGTCTAATTCCTCGTCTGCTTGCTTGAACAGCGAGGCCCCATGGTAGTGAGCATGAAAGGAATCCAATAGCTCCGACTATAGCACAAATAAGGCCCAAGGATGGCAAGGCGTATGGTATAAATTCTCACTTACATTGAGTAGGAAATCGTCAACACGGTCCAAAGAGACTTTGGCTGTAGGCAGGGCAGAATTATTGATATATCTTCTCAGAGCCTGGTAGAACTCACCTTGAGTTATTCTCGGGAGCAGTCCGAGAATTAGGTGAAGCTGACGATGAAAAACGTCAAAGACTAGGGGAAAAAATAAGTAGAGCAGCATTAAAAAGAGATAATTTCTTGCATACCGGTTATAGATGAGAACACCACAGCGGCTAAGTGGAATTAGTTAAAGCCATATATACGATACATAATGAACCTCCATACCACTCAGGTTTTGCTTCATCAATAAAGTCTGGCACAAAATCGTCAAATTCAGATAGAGTTTCACCGAACAACGATACATACGTATGACGCGAAAGTTGTTAGCATGACAGCAATAGGAATGATAAAACTGCCAATTTGTCAGCGAAGAAACAACTCTCTGAAAACCAACTTCACTTAGTAATGTTGATGGAAAGCTCCAGGAGCTTGCTCCTCCAAGTCCACAAAAGTTCTTCTTCGCGTGTACGCGTTATCTTTTCATTGGTCTGTTGCTCCCATCCAAATAACTTGATCATGCGAAGCACGTTCATGGCTACGACAAAAGAAAAAGTGAATATAATATTCTGTACAACATTCATTCACACGTACTTTCAGTGACGGTTTGTACCCGGGCATCTGTCTGATACATATAAAATTCACCTGTCTTGCTCCTAGAAAACGAACTGCTCACTTTATGCATTTTCTGTTGTTGAACATGTTGTATTAGGCGTGCCATATAGCCAGGAAGTGGGAATAAAAGTATCATAACACCTAATCCGACGAATGAGCTAAGAAAAGTTCAGTCATCACGAGGCAATCAGCATTCAATCTGGAAAGACAGTACCTCCAGCCAAGGATAGAGTACAGAAGCCAGATACACAAAGACACTCCCAGAGGGATATTGATAACTAAAATCAGGCAGATTAATGTAAACGTCACATGGAACACGTCATTTTTACAGACCAATATAAAGCCAGTCTCGCCCATTAGTTATGTTGTTAAGGTCTGAGGTGACGAGATTGTTAATTTTTCCTACGAGATTATCAGCCTTGGAGGTAGGGTTGTGAGCCTCTTGCCCGTTCTCATTCTGCACATCCTCCGTTTTCTGCTTGCCCTTTTGGCTTGAGGATTCCGCAATCGTTGAGCTTGTCTGCGATGTATCGTCACCATCTACAGACTCCCCCTCATTCGTACTAGATTCTACCGTGTCAGGCGTGAGCACCTCGTTTGCCTCCATAGTTTGCTTTATGTCTGACGGGGTTTCAGCTTTCATGCGAATACGTAGGGCATGTTCGAAAATGAGTTGGGTCAGTATCCCTTCTGTGCGGACGAGGGTTTGTGTCTGTAGGCACAACTTAAGCGAGTGGCACAAAAACTAAGATATGAGTTTACCGAAATATAGAGATACCAATCCATTGCCAAAGAAGTGACCAATGGGCCAAGGAACAATAAACATATCCACACCCACGGCCGAACAACGGCTCCTTCGCCTCCAGATTCCAGGTAGCTTAAAGAGAGTGCTTAATGACTGAACTGTTGGTCCCTATTCCAGAACACCTACCTCAGGAGACGATTAACCGCGATTGGACTTACAAGAGTAGCTATGACCTGTTCACTTGAGCTCGATGATATTCAGATATGCGAATTGAGCCCTACCTCGATGATTACTGTAGACGCCATGATGATGTATTCACCACCTGTTGAATATTCAATTTACTGACGTAATATAAAAATCTTGAAAGCTAACGATATATTCTGACGAAACCAAAGAAAATGTGACCCTTCTTCTTCCTTTGCGAAAAAGGATCAAGGAACTAATGTACTCCATCATGAACAGGTCACTTCATCTTTATCAAACAGGATTGTACGTACCGGGAAACTTTCCTGCACTAAATTCTTGGCACGGTCATAGTCAGCAAGAGGAGGAAGCTGCTCGTGCGACAGGTGAGAAACTTTGGACGCGAGATACACTGTCGAGTCTATCCAGGAGAACAGGATGCGAGATAACCATGAAGCGGTCTGCTCTGGATGAGGCTCATCGGCAGGGTCCTGAGAAATGAGTCAAGCAAAATACACATGCCCATGTCAAAAGGTCTCACTTTAGGATCAAAAGGCACGTATTGTCGAGGTTTGATAATCGGCAACACAATAGTGATGAGGGTAAGAATAGATATTTTAACCCATAAGAGCCATCCTTCGTGAATATCCAGTGGAATATGAGTGAACGTCAATAAAGGCCACAAGTCACGATACGCGAATATTCCAAGCACCACAAGGAGAAGGATGATCAAGTGCCTGGAGACAACCTTGCTGCTTCTAGGTATGAATAAAGATATAAAGCTCAACAATGAGATATACGCCTAAAAAAATCACGCGCATAAGATACCAAGGGGTTGTTATCGTGAAGACACTTACTATGGTTATGCAGAGCGCAAGCTGCGGTGATATGACAGTCTGGATCTTGGTATTACGATGCACACTCCCAGATAGCCCTATTGTCTGCGTAGCCATGCCCTTTTGACCCCCATCCTCTTTATCCATGATAACATTTACCAGAGACAATGCGAACAGTACTGAGCAGCCTATGAACGAAGCTACCTTATATATGAACTCGGTACATCCTCCATGCAAAATCACGAATGCTTTCGGGTTATTCAAAAGACTAGGAGACCCTACTCCATGGGAATGGGGATCATCAAATTGCTGTCCTTGAGAAGCCAAAAGGCGGGTCCGCAGCTTGTAAAAAGGCTTTGAATCCGCTACTGCATGTAGCAGAAGAATGAGTGCAGAGACAGCAGCGACATAGGCAGGGATTGCTTGTAGGTCGAGCAGACCACTAGTGATACAAACATGTTCTAGATAACTCTTCGTGCTGCTTAGATTGAAACCACTTACCTGTCTTTGCTATCTGCCACAACTAGCCTGATATCTGGGTGATATAAAAGTAATTGCGAAGCAGTTTGAAAATAATCCATGAATGGAAGTCGAGACTATCGCAAAACTTGTTGGAGCTGATCAAAGGAGATCCTAAAAGACCTGCGGAGACTGCGTTTCAAAGGTAAGTGTGCAAGGTGTTTGGTTGAACAAGTTAAGCGTCCAGAAATAACATGTAGCACGCGATAAGGTGGCTGGAGAACCTCATGATCCTGTTGCTCCGGAACTTTGCCCAATAGACTCATCACAAATTGATAACAGCGGCGTTTCCAAGTGCGGGAGAACCGTGCGACGAATGATATCGAAAGTAGTAAGTTGCAAGCTTACTGTACTTCAAGGCTATCATATAGTCCCGGGCATTAGAAACAGCGTGCGCAATTTCATGTCGTAAGGAAACAAATGTCAGTCGATGCCCACGCGGTGTTTAATGGCAGACTAAGTTACATATATAATTGTTGCGAAATCTTTAGAGCTGTGATGAATGAAAGAAGGTCCTTGATGCGAGTGAATGTGATCTAGTTGTAGATTCTACTTGCCCTAAGCCAAAGACAGATACCTCACAGAGACCATATCTTCAGAGCACAGTCCCGTCCACCTGATACAAGATATCGATCCATGTACCGTAGGCGCTCGACAGGACTCGTGTGCCCATTTGTTAGGAGCGTTGAATGCTGCATACTTGTACGATTATATATCTGCGTCGAAAAGTCAGGAATCGTCAACGAAACACTACGATTAGTCAGTCCTTACATCAACACCATTTTTGCCAGTTGCAGCGACGACTTTCCGCGTATCAAACTGGAGCGAAGTGATACCGTGGTCATACCTGAGCGTCTCAAACGTTCCGCCAGTTCGGACGTCCCAAATCTGGCACGTGGATTGAGCATAGCTCCAGATAAATTTCCAAAATAACAGGAACTTACCCTTATGGATTTATCAAGACTGCCACTGACAATATGGATTTCGTCAAACTGCAAGCAGGTCACGGGCGAGGTATGTCCAAGCAAAGTCCGATGCGCTTGCCCAGTTCGCACTTGGTGTCACAAGTGCATTAGATCCAACCGTCATGAGTACAAATAAAAACCTTACTATCCCACATCCTCACGGCGCCATCTCCACTTCCACTTACCAACCCGTATCCCCAGAATTGAACACCACCAACAAAGTCCTGGTACATTTCCCAGCTACCATCCGCGTATGGGGGTGTTGGTACTGCAAAGGATCCTGCCGCTGCCGCTGCGCCCGAGAAGAGGTGGTTAGGGAGAGCACTGCCAACAGCGGTGCTTGGAGCATGTGATATCGCCCAGAGAATATCCATTGTCATGATGCATTGACCAGTGGTCAGATCCCACTGTCGGAGAGTCTTATCCGAAGCGCCAGTTACCTTTTGATACGCATAAGCGAAGTTGCACATAGAAAAGATATTAAGTTTGCCTACCAAACACTCGTCTTCGAAGTATAGGGCAGTAACGGCTTTACTGTGTCCTTCGAACAACCTAACACACGGCCCCATGGGCTCTGATATACTTGGCTCGTTGGATCTGATCCCATTTGGCTTTTCAATGATCTCGCCATCGTAACTCCTTGACTCATCCTCTTCTGCAACATCGCTCAAGCTGACCATCTCGCCCTGACCCCAGCCTCCATCTACTCGGCGCAGATCCCACAACCGCACTACGCCATCTGCGCCACCAGTGAGACACACGTGGTCCTCTACTTGAAGGACCTTTACTGGCCCACGATGGCCACGCAAGCGGCCAACCTCAGCTCCAGTCATAAGATCCCAAACACAGGGCTGAGAATCTTCTTGCGCAGCGCTCACAAGCGTGCCGTAGGGCTCTGAAAAATCTAAAGCTGCTATTGGCATGGTGTGATTATCGAGAGTCTATGGACAAATGATATACACAAGTGAAAAAAAAAGCAATGGACAATAATTGTTGCTACTTACCATGAAGGCAACTCCCGGAGGAAGCTCATCATGCTCCGAGGGCAGGAAAACAGGACCTGACAACATGCATAAGCGAAAAACCTTATGAACGCTACATTGAGATCACCTTTGCGTCGACGCGAAGGTGCTGCGTGTGGAGGTACTGCAGCGCTCACGTCGGACTTATTTTGGAGCCTACCCGAAGATTGCTCAAATTCTAGTCGTTCCTTGACCCCTTCCACTATATTTATGACCTTAAGTGGCCGTACCTCGAACTAATGTAGAAAAGCCTACGCACATTCATCATCCAATTCTAGCTCGTCTTCTTGGAGTTTGAGCAGATCCTGTTCAAGCTTTTGTCTGATGGTATCTAAGGCTTTAATTTTGCTAGTGATTTCTGCTATGTCGCTATTGATCAAACTCTGTACGATATTATTTATTTTCAGCGACGGAGACAACGATATCACGCACCCTTCGAACATGTAGATTCTCTTTATCTCGCATGATTTCTTTAGTCTGCCTGGTCAATTCTTCCTTCCCAAGAGTCTTCGAAGCACTGAGACTCTCCCTACCCCGTCTTTTCCCTTTCCTCTTATTCCGCTCATGTGCCTTCGTAACAACGACGACATCTTCCTCACTTGCTACACTGCGTCCTTCATCCTCATCCTCTTCTTCATCCATCAGAAGGCCTCTCGCACTCATCCCAAGCTTCTTCAGACCAATTCTTGGAGTGTCCACATTCCGCATCTGCCTCCTCCGAGTGCGACTTTTCTCCGCACTCGGGATGGTTGCGTTAAAGCCGCGGAGTAAACTCACATTCGATGCAACGCCCTCTGGTTCAGGAACTTCCGCGTCTAAGAGTTCTTCTGTGGCCTCGACTATCTGGAGGTCGCGCGAAGTGATGCGCCGACCGCCCAGCGACATACGCATGGGCGCACGCCCAAGAGTCGCAAAATCCATACGCGGTCTATTAGCACTCGAGCTTTCTATTGCACGTGGTTTGGACGAGACGGTAGCAGCAGCTGTCATCATTCTCGGTGTCATGATAACGGGGGCCACTGTAAACGAGAAGTGTAAATGGCTGCCTGACGAGGAGAAAGGTCTAGTTTTCTTCTTACAATCTGACAGAATTCTGGATGATTCTGATTTCTTATGAGTGAAAGGAGCGAATATTGCTTTTGAGACCAGTTCCATCTTGCTAGGACCAGAAGCGGACGGAAGAAGAGGGTCCAACGTTGCGCGGGTACTTTTTTTCTTGTCCCCAGCGGACTTTCCTTTGGACTTTGATGCCATTTTATGGCATGCCCTCTGCTCTGAGCTTTGTTAGACGCTGGAGAACGCTGGAGCAGAAGAAAGTAGAAAAAAAAAGGGTGTAGAGTGAAAGGTTGGCGTGCTGCCGTCAACTGCAGAAATCGGGCCATGACAGTTTCCCACGGATCCCGCCTAAGCTCAGGCTCAGACCACAGCAACACCCGCTGATTTACATAGTCAATGTGAAGGACTCGGATGTCTACAGAATTAGAATACAAAATGGCTTCTGAAACCCCCAAAACTACGACATATACTAAATACAATGTATCGTGTGGAACAGCATATAAAAGCCAAGTGCTCCATTTTCAAGTTCGTAGATTTCTGGTGAACGTCGTGTACTACCTCTGAAACAACTCTGAATTTCACATTCCCACTCGATAACAGCGTGTAGCTCACCAGTGAAACCGTTATGGCCGTCTCGACCACCGCAGGTCAAAGACCAGGTCAAATCCGTATGGGCGAAGGTCATACTCCCCAGGCTCAATTGGTTTGTCTTCTAGAGAAACATGAAGAGTCGGGGCTGCTGGGGTGGTTGTATCTGAAGGGGCAGGTGAAAGTTCTGAAATAGGCAAGCTGGATTGAACTTGTGCCACCTCGAGTGATTTATTCCTGCCGAAGATAGAGCGTAAGATGAAAAAAGATGGTTTCCCCTGTGGGATGTGTTCCTGTTGTACCCCATTCCCATCAGCCGTTGCATCAATGTTGCCTTGAAGCTCGCGCTCCACTTTAGGGGATCCATCCTCATAATTCACCATTATCGCTCTTTCTACGTCAGCCTTCATGCGTTCCACGCTCGCTCTTTCCCACTTCTCCATATCATATGGCTCAAACATGCTTCCTGAAAAATCACACCAGCACCGGTCCAGGACGCGTATGATTGGCGGTTGCACGTTCTGTACATTGAAGCTAGGCGTCATTGTCGAATTCAGCGCCTCTGAAAAGGTTGTGATGTTTTCGGACCAGGAAACAGAGAGTGGGGTGTCAAGTGGGAAAGACTGCCAGTAACAAGACGAAAGGAAGAGAGCCGCTAGGAGAATGACACAGTAAAAGCTGAGAGCGCGATGCACAATGGTTAAAAAGAATATATTGTCCAGTAAATGCAGACTCACCATGGTTTAGCATGCAAACCAAGTGAGAACAAGAAGAGCAGAAGAAAATATGGGGGAGCTGTTGGTAAGGGTAGCAACAATAACGGCAAAAACCAACGCGTGCACCTAATGTAAAGTGATTAGCAGACATTGTGTTGTCTTGCAAGTAAGACTCACCACATTGTTCTTATTACCGGTGCAGGACCAGGCTATCCCGAGTTCCAAAAACTTCATACGCAATCTGAGATTTGCAGTAGACCTGCCCTAATGATTCTCAGTCATGTGACACCCGGTGGCTGAGATGCAGATACGTCGCGTTCTTGGTCTTTCTGGATTATTCGAAAGGTCTTATAACCTTCTTTCTCTTCCATCACCAACATCAATCATTCAACATAGACGATGTCGGCCCATCCAGAAGTACTTTGGGCACAACGGAGCTCTGACTCTGTAGCAGAAAAGGTATTTTCCACTTATTGTCCTATCTTTCTGCTGAAAATGATCTTAACCGCGTCTATCCCGATCTGCGCTATCTCGCTTTCTGTAGAACATCGTATACTTGACTGTCAACCTCCCTGACATTGTCGAATCATCGTTAGAATATAATCTTACTCCTACAAGTATTTCTTTCAAGGCAAAAGCAGGATCGTAAGTCTCCAACCAGCAACGCCCTGTTGTATTCTCTACTGACATTTCATGCAGTGATGGAAAAGACCACGCTTTCAGTTTTGACTTATTCTCTGAGGTCGTACCTGAGGTATATCTATCCATTCATCCGCTTATTCTACAATCATCGTAAACAATAAACTCCACACTTAGGAATCTAAAAAAACATTCACCCTCCGTTCCTTCGCTGTTGTCTTACGGAAAAAGGAATTAAATTCCGAATTCTGGCCGCGTCTTACAAAGGAGAAAGTGAAAACGCCATTTGTTAAGACCGATTTCAGCAAATGGGTTGACGAGGACGAGCAAGATGGTGCCCCGACAGTCGACGAGGAGGACTTAGGTGGAATGGGTGGTATGCCTGGAATGGGTGGTATGCCAGGAATGGGCGGTATGCCAGGAATGGGCGGTATGCCGGGGATGGGCGGTATGCCAGGGATGGGCGGTATGCCGGGGATGGGTGGCATGGGTGACATGGGCGGTATTGACTTTCAATCGGTTCGTCACTGTCATAATCACAAGTGCTCTTCGTCTTTTTAATAACTCTCTTTTCCCCACGCAGATGATGTCGCAGATGTCAGCTGGGGCAGGAAGTGCAGATGCGATTCAGGATTCCGACTCTGATGGTGATGATGGTCCCCCACCACTCGAAGAAGTTGAGCCCAAAGTATAAACAAAGTCGTAGTAGTGAACACGAACAAATATCTCAATGCTGTACATCCTAAACGAAAAATTCCTTATTGATAAGGAAACGCTCCATAGTTGGAGCTTATGTCATGAACTCGACATCGACGTCCGGATACAAACGATGGGTTTACAACGAAACAAAAACGTGGTTGAACCACCTCAGCTCTGAGAGAGCTTTCCGTCGTAAGTTGTTAAAGCGCAAACACTTCCTGGGGAGACAGCAAATATGCATTGAAACCTTACTTCAATTGACAATCGACCATCAGTGAGACATGAGACATAGTTGTGTACGATAAAACCCGATTAGTTCGGCGTGGTCGTGGTGGGTATTGTAAGAGGTATAAAATATGATATATACACAGTCATTATACGTGCTTACGGGGGCTGAGCTTCAGACGGCAACCATCCAAGGGGAAGAGAGTCGCAATGATTCTGTGAACGACACTCATCAACGTTGATCACGCCGGGGATGAAGATAGAACCACTCACTTGACTTTGTTGCTCTCTGGAGTAATATCATGCTCCCAATCCATCATTACACTCGCGGTTGCCAGTATAAGAGCAATGTTCATGGTGGCGTACTCGATACCAATGCATTTGTGAGGACCACTCCCAAACACGAGATAATTCTTAGGGTTGGTGTTAGCCGAGCTCTGAGGATCAAGCCAGCGTTCCGGCGATAAAGAATCGGGATCGGGGAAGACAGTCGGGTCGTGGAGGGAGTTATAGAACGACGGGATGACCATGCTGTTAGCTGGGACTGTGTAGTCTGCCGAAATGGGGAATGCCTTCGTGGCTTTGTACGGAACCTAACAGCATTGATCAGCAAGGTGTATACGATACTGATGAAGATAGGTAGCGAACCATGGTAACAGGAGGCTTAACCCTCATGCTTTCTTTAACGAAAGCTTTCAGGTAGGGCATCTCATCCAGCATTTCCAAAGTCAACGGTTTGTCCACATCACCAGCTCTCACACGGTATTGCTCCTCCCGGATCTTCGCCAGAATGTCAGGGTGATCCGCCAAATGCTGGAAACCGTAGATCAAACCACTGCTCATGGCATCCTGGGAAGCGAACAAGAACGAAAACACGACCATTGCCATCTCTCGATCGCTGAAATCTTTGCGGCCCTTGTAGCTGGGTGATTGCATCTCCTTCACCCATTCTTCGAGCATACATTCGGGTTCAGCACCCTCAGCAACAGCGATTTTAGCTTGGGAAGCAGCGAGTTCCAACCATTTGAAAGCAGCTTTACGAGCCTGAATGGCCCTATATACCTTAGTACCGGGGATAGCGAGTGGGAAGTTGACAAGCTCCAGGGCCTGAGTGATGTCCCAATATTTCTGATTGATCTCAACGGCGCCTTCCTCGGGAATGTGTTTACCGCAGAAGACCCTCAAAGAGGTGTGCATGTTCAAGTCCCTTGCGGTCATCATGATCGGCTTTGGGGAAGAATCTGTGGCCGCCTCAGAGAGCCACTTGCTGAAGTGCTGGCGCGAAATGGCGTCTTGAACTCCAATGTAAATGCTAATGTTGTTGTTAGGCAACCGGAAAAATTCAGTAGACACGTGAGTGTACTTACCCAAGAGCTTTGCGCGTGAAAAGAGTGTTCAAAATACGACGATACTCAACATGGGTTTTGCCTGTGAGGAATACCCTAATGATAGAAGTTCGGTAAGCAAAATGGTGTTTAATCCATAAACTACATACCAGTTATCAGGCATAAGAATCTGCTTAGCAGAGTAAACGAGGCAAGGCTCAGCATGGTTCGGAGAGTTGAGGATTTTACGCGAGTACTCGTTCGACGAAGCCATAACAACGAAACTACAGATATCGCAGGTTTAGAAATAATTGTATGGCTGAGTATCAATGCCTTACATGTTGAAGACGCTGACAGCACTGAGAGCACCTGAGTTCCACTGTGCCATGTAGCCCTCCATGGTGGGCTTGAGCGAATCAGCATACTTCCCGATGATGGGAATTGTCCAAGAAGAACCAGGCAAGTGTCTCTTCTTGTACCTATACACGGACTGCTCGAGAACGAGGAGAGCACAGATCAATGCCGCTGTGGTATAAAGCCATGTAAACGATTCAGAGGATGCTGAAGTAAGAAAAGAGGGTATGGGTATGTTATGCAATAGTGGATCCGATGTTGAGGAGGGCATTGTGGCCAATACTGAGTGCTGACGATGCGAAGCCATGCTCGTGTTCGACAATGGTGACCTTCGTGAACTGGTCTCTGCCAGATACTTTGTTCGTACAACACCCGCAAAATAAAGTTACAAGATCGCCTTCTGATTGGTTGAGGTGGAAATAAATAAAAATCAGTCCATTGTGACCATGGGAACTACTTCCCTATCCCGTAACCATGGTTTACTCCGTGACTGTGAGAATCTCAAGTCCTGGATTTCCGGACGTCACGTGGGATTACACAATGACATCGTAGCGCCTCATCGTTCGACGTCATAGTTGGTGAGGGGGATATATAATGTCTAATTCTCTTCTACGTCGACAGTCAAACGAACATTATACCGACTACCCTTCCCACAATTGACAACTATGTTCCGTACTGCAGCCATCACCACACGTGTTTCTCTTTCTCGAGCGACAAGGATGTATGCCAGGTCGCTTCACTCATCACCGGGAACGTCTAAAAGTATGACAGAGAAGGTGTCAGAAGTTGCTGATACAGTATGTTTATTGTCTCATCGCTGAACGTGTCAATAGTAGGCCCACTCACTTGACAGGTGAACAAGAAAGTCGGAAAGGGTATTGCTTCCGCTATCGAGACAGGAGAGCATGCAACACACACAACGAAGGAGAAATTTGGTCTGTCCTAACACATTATAGTTCTGGTAGAAATATATGTCTATGTGCTCATCTGATATTTCCAGGCTCAGGTGCGGATTCTACAAAAGAAAAGGTAGAAGATGTAGCAGGAACTGCAAAGCAAAAAGTACAAGAAACCTCTGAGCAAGCAAGACAGAAGGCCGACCAGGTCAGTGTCCTCCATGTCATGCTGCCACTTTGCACCGGCCCATGATCGACAACTGATTCATCAACATAGGCTAAGTCTGGTGCACGAGAAGCCAAAGATGATGTCAAGAAGGAGCTTTCAAAATAGAATTCAAGTTGCGCGTGCTTGCCTAAACGCTGTATCTTAGCTTGTATTCGGACAAACTCATCCTATAATGATCATGGAATGATCACGGCACTCATGAATCGATCTAGAATTTGTAAACGTAAAACTAGTTTAGTAACATCGAGAGTAACTAATCCATGACTAGTATCCGCTATCGTTCTATGGAAACAATATTGTTCCATGTATCCGAAATGTGGTAGGGAGAGTCGGATAGCATGTTGTACGATAATAACAAACGAAGAACGGCCCGCTTACCCTACAAGCGATATGAGAGCGATCCAAGTCGGCAGATGAAAGACGAGTCTGAGTCTCACAATGACATGTCGGGATATGCCAAATAGGGCTGATGATATGCAGAAAGCATCAGTAACCTCGAAGCATGAGGGCGAGACTTCGTTATGCTAGAAGTCAGTCAATTCTCAGGTGAGTCCTGGGGGAAAAGGGCAGGGAAAAGGGCAGGAAAAAGGGCGGTCCGGTCACGGGACATCTGAGCCTTAGACCACGGGCATGCTAAACAGTACTAATTCTGAGTCTGCGGGGCTGATGAGCGCTCGAGATTGATGTAACCAACTTGAAAAGAAGGGCGCCGCAAGTGAGATAGGTGAATAAGGGGAGCGAGCCTGAAACTGATGACTGCGGTGCTTATTCACCGCAAACCAACCAATGAGGCGCACCGAAAATGTAATAAGCTACGTTGTTCACTCACCTATGAAGACGGTAAGTTTCACAAATAGCTCGTGAATGGTGATATCCTAGATCTGTACTGCGATCACGAGGCACATCAAATGGAAAAAAGGTTCTATGTCGACAAGCTGTCCGTGGTATTTAAAAAAGGGTATTCTCATGTCGAAGTAGTATCGAAGCTTGATAGTGAAGTCAGACGAGCGCAATCAGTACGTTTGAGGAGAGATGAAAACGCGTAAGTAAGCAGACGATCCCCAGGAATTTGCTGCAAACAGAAACGACGCGCCCGCCGTCGAATCCCTCCCAGGTTCGAAGGCCACTAGAAGTGGCTACAATGTCTATATCCTCGTTCTCCACGGTCGTCAAGTAGATGTTTCATGGCGGTGTGTTGCTTGATATGGAGGGATCTTCTCAGGTGCCTGGAAACATCCAGGCTTACCTGACGACATATGACTGGAGAGGACAAGTTGTGAGCGCCCTACAACGCATGATGTGGGGAAATAGCCTTCGGTCGGTTTTCATCGGATGCACTGACGGTGAATCTGAAGAGAACCGACAGTCGGGAACCTTCATATCAAAGCAGTCTGTAGAAACAACACCACACAACCGCGACCAGGGATATGGTATGGCAGCGATGTCGAGTGCTGTTGGGTACTCCAAACCTGCAGATTGAACGCACCGTAGCCGGACAGTATCTAGCTTCGCTGAACCCGACAGGTCGGGAAATATGGCCGAGGAGTCACCAGATGTATTTGGTAAATATGAGTCCCGCGGAGGGGCCATCTGCAAAGGATCCTCCGGTATTCAAGAATAGACCGGATTATGTCCCAAAGTGCGCGTTACGCGATACACTGACTGAAACAATGGCCGTGATAATGGGAGAAAGGCGGCGTCCGACTATGAGTGTGTGGAGGCGCTGAGCAACCAAGCTAAGGACAACTCTCGCAGTGGTGAGGACACAAGACCAGGCCCGCGGAACTGTAACTGATTAGAAAGCTCGGAGAGCCGCGCTTGAAGTGATAAATCGAGGTATAAGCTGGGCTTGAGAACGAATAGAATCCCGTGGTCACAAACGCCATCATTTGCCCAGGTACTTAAGTCGCCCAAAGCTAGCAGACAAAGGCCAGGTCAAGAAAGAAAGGTGCTTCCTGTATCGGCATAGGCGGCAACAGATATAACGGCAACGGCTGGCACATACCTGCACAGTGTTTTTTGTGCAAGAAGATGACGCCTGTGAGAAAGACCTTGCAGTACAGACCTTTGTTGTTGAGCGGGGGAAATGAAGGTGTCAGCGTCAGAGATGCATTGAGTAATACTGGGACGAAAAGGACGTCTTTGACAAAGCACCTTAGCTGCACGTGACTGGTAATTATCAGATAAGGTCCTCAAGTGGAATGCGGAAGCTATCCTCCACTCGAAATGTGCATTTCAGGACACGGCTGCCAGTAGCAACTCCGTTCTTCATCCATCATAGCGCCATTCTGTACGGGTTCTAAATTTGTGTTTTCACGGAACTTTCTGTGGTATGGTTCCACGTGCCTGACTACATCCGTTTTGACGACACCTATCGTGCCACTTAGCCCGCTATAGATTTCCGTGCAAGACGAACGGACCAAAGCAATGCCATCTTCAAATCCAAACTCATCTAGGGATCTTGAACCCGGAACCTATGCCTCTTCGCGTCGGTGTTCCGCGAATCAGGTGGTGCTTTGATGCAAAGAAAGGTATAAAAGACCTATACAAATCTGCTCGAGAGGCCACTTACCTGCTTCGAGCTTCAGAGCCTCTTCTTCACTGTATCAGCACTCATCAATCATAAACCACTGTTTCCCCGCATTTATATCCCACGACAACACCCCTCATCGTCACCATGCAGCCCTTGTCACTGAAGAGACTTTCTATCAGCAGTACTAGCACTAGGGTACGATCCCCAAAATTGATCTGCAGTTTCACTTATTAACCACCTTTCACACTCTACAGAGCTCAGGAAGTTCTAAATCGAAACGCAACTCCGTGCCCATCCAGGTACACCCACCACCTTCTGATATTACTTTCTCAATAGTACGTTTAAATTCCGTACGGGATACTCACACATATACTTATCGCCGCTTCTTTTTGGTAGCCATTGTCCCCTTCGACGTCTATGATGGAAGGTTTTGGGGGTAGCCCCGCTGAGCTAGGATTCGTAAGTCTCCTCTGATCATTTAGGCCTTGAAGTCCTCGTGGCTAACATCATTAATACGGATGTCTGCGTAGGCTGAGATGCTCGACGATGACAATATGTCTTGGGGCACAAGCAAACGTTCGAGTTCGAAGCTCAGATTCTTCTGATCGAACCTTTGAAAACCGCGTATATGGTTATACCCGCTTCAGCTAAATTAAAGTAGTCTATGTATCAGTATACTTATTCTCGGAGACGCATTTGTACGATATGACATACGGCATTTAATGACAAGGTCGGGACCAGTGTACATTTAATCCATGGCAGTGTGCCCTTGAATATGCTTAAGAAGGGTCGAGCACCAAGTAGCGTAGTAGTTAGCGATTTAAAGATGGTCATATTTGGATCCTTGACTTTCGTCGAAGGTTGAAACTTCTACGTATATTCTCTGGAGCTAGCTGAACCGAGCAGACCGGGCGGCCATTCTTGACAGCAATACATGAGATCGGGCTCGATTTGAAGTATGCCAGGATATCGATGACTCCGCGCCACCGTATCTTCGAAGGGTCGAGAGCAGTCTGGAAAAAAAGGGGCATGTGGCCATTCGTCCGGCATGGACAGAACATGAATGAGGTTGAATGATTGGATTGTGAACGCACAGCAGTAGCCGCAGGGGATTCCCACACAGCGGCAGAAGTTCGATATTTGAAAGGGTACGCTGCAGACAACCCAGAGTCACCGCAGAGATGAGATGGGACCATAGTCTTCGTGATTCCGTACTATAATTCTTTCCTCGTTATCTCTCCAGATCTCCCAGCATCAGTACGGCCACCGTCAAAGTCACCGAATGCACATAGCACCGTCGCAGGTTATCTTCACTTGCCCTACATTACCCAGGACAGTGACAAACATGCTGTTGGCATAGATGACGATGGTGGAGACAGTCGGACGGATGCCGTCACCACCGGATTTGTGAGCTCGAAATATGGGTGCAAGGTAAAGCGATACTCCGCGCGAAAGACAATCCCTACAGCATCGACAACATTCCCCAAATACAACCCTCCTTCTTACCAAAGGGAATTCGAGGAGAAACTCGGAGGCTGATCGCGAAAATAATCGACTTCTTAAATCCGCAATCCATGCTTGACATCTATCTTCCAGCCCTCATCTGTCTTCAAAATTAATAGCTCACGGAAGATGGACAGACGGGAAGGACTGGCCTCGACGGAAGACAGACACGAAATTACGGCCCTGCAAACGTTATTTATAGAAACAACAAATTCAGATTACCGCACTCGGAGATATCTGTACTAATATCGGAGGTATGTGATGGCAAGAGGATAGGAAAAATGATCTTCACCCAATAGATTAGGCGGGACCTAATTTTGAAGTTGTGGATGCGTTTTGAAGAGTTCCATATCGCCAGCCTTCACATCATTGAGTCCAAAGGTAGAACTAATACACACCAATATGGTCCTATGAACATGGCAAGCGATCGCACGGATTGTCTAGGTGGCGTACCTATTCCAACTTCTTTCTTTGAATCGCTTGTCAATCGCCACGAGGCACCGAGGGAATCATCCGCTCAAGGCAGAGCCGTGGGACAAGGAAAGAAATTGGTTACGCCGGATGACAGAACGCTGGCTGCGCACTCGCTGGTGCTATGTATAAACGCCCTTTGGGATCACGTTATACACTATGCAATTTTTGTGAGCAAGTAAGGGGAGATATATAAACGTGCGGTTCCCTGCTCACTTTCGGCCCATTCTCAACTCTCCTTCGTGTGATATACATACTTGAAAGCTCTGGTTCGCAGATTATACTGCTTTCTTCTGAGCTACGACTTTTGATTCGAGGCTGTTTGACTTACGACGACCATCTCCCTTTAACGCCCTTCTGACGAGCCCATTATGTTCTCTCTTGCGTCGCACGGATGGACGGAGAAAAGTGTAGGTCCCACCATTTATACTTGAGACATTGCGATGCCTAATTGTACTGTAGTCGCAGGACAGCGATTCCTACTACCATAGAAAAAAACCTAAATTGTCTCGCATCTTACACTCACTGAAGGCTTACCTAGGCCACAATCTCGGTCGCAACGTGAGTCCTCGCACTCATCTCCACGAGCCGACCATGACCTTGAACGATATAATAATGTAGTCCTCGAAAAAGGATTATGTGCAAACGAAAGAGGCGGCGACTGGATTCGATGGAGAAGAGGTATACGGGGTGATTATCTTTTGCACTGTCACCATCGTCATCGACCGCTGATATGATGCATGTTGCATAGCTCCGAGCAGAAGAGCTAGACGACGATGACATGGCATGGGGTAAGCGGCCTTCCCGGCGGGAGGAACAACGAAAGCACTCGGGCTTAGACGAGGGCCACCAACACTTTTGTTGGTGATTGCAGTGTGCCGGGGTAGTATTACACTAATACCGTCGAGCGTTAGTTGAACTTGACTCAACCATAGTAGCATTACACATGTCACTGCTTAAAACTTATTGGACTGTCTTTGCAGATATACCTAAACCACAATGTAAAATGTCTAATTAGCCGCAAATATAGCCCTTGATTTTATAAGACTACCTTCGAGTATTATGAAGCAACATCAGAGTCAACCATTCCATG